GAGCTGCCAATAATCAGAGTTGTTTCCTCAGCGGGTGTGTCGCTGAGTGGGGAAAATTTATTAGAAACGTGAATCATTAGTGTATAATCACCTGAATATAAGAATCGTTGTGTTTTTGTTACCTTAGAATGAGATGTTTTTATCTAAAGAGGAGGAGCCCGCCATGCTGAACCACTATGTTCCCACAGTAGCCCAGAACAGACAAACCAAGCTTTTACACTACATGCCACATTCACCCATTCATACACATTTACACAGTGATGGCAAAGCCCATCAAACAATCGAACTCATTCACATTCACACACGGATACACAGCGTCAGGAGCAATTTGGGGTTCACTATCTTGCTCAATGACACTTCGACACGCAGCAGGGAAGAGCCGGAGATCAAACCGCCAACCTTAGTTGATCCAGGTCAGAAATCAAGTGTCACTGCTTCTGCACACTGTACTGATAACTGATAATAATATACAACTTTCCAAGTAACAGCCAAGGAGAATTATTGAACATTTACTGATTGGTATAAACAAACAAAAACATTGTGTGAATCCATTTATTTTCATTCCCTATGAAGCTGATTATCACTGCAGCACAGTATGATACTATAGTACTATACTTATGCTGATTCTAGAACTCTAAAATTGTCTGTCTAAAAGGTTGTTGTGTTCTCTTTAACATTAATTTACACCTGCTTTACTTATTTAGACTTCATTATGAGTGGCCTGATAACTTGTCTTGAACTATGGTCTTAGTGAAAATCCTTGCATGCTCCACCCCAGAAAGGCCCAGGTCCAAGATCTGAAACCAGAACCTGTGAGGTGACCACCCCAGTCTCACACCAAAGCATGTAACAGACCCACTGATCCACTAGAGGATACCATGTCAGTGTCACATTTTGCCTCGTCTAGACATGAAAAGTACACACAAGTATGAAGGTGCAGTATAAAGAGCAACAAAGTCCACATATGGAGGATGTTGGGGTGGGTGAATGAGTCAGCAAACAAAGGACTTTCAGCCAGGACTCTTCTGCTGTGTGTGAAACCAAAAGTCTCAATTTTAAAGGTCCAGTGTGTAGGATTTAGTGGCAGTAGAAGTGAAACTCCCTCACTTCACCCTCCCCTTCCAAGTGTGTAGGAGAAACTATGGAGTAAACGCCAGTGGCCCTATCTAGAGCCAGTGTTTGGTTTGCCTGTTCTGGGCTAACCTCTGTAGATAAAAACAGCTCATTCTAAGGTAATAAAAACACAACGATTCCTATATTCAGGTGATTATACACCAATAAAAACATAACTAGAAACATTATATTCCAATTCTGACAATAGATCCTCCTCAATGGTACACACTGGACCTTTAAAACCCATGTTATCTTCAGCCTAGATCACAACCCTGAATTTCCTAGTTTTCCAGAGTTCAATTACCAGCAAACTAATCAATCTGTTGATTTTATTTTCCCAACACACAAAAATAGGATAACTGATCCTTCACTGTAACATTCCCTCCCTCTTTTGAACAGGAAGTTGTACCACCCTAACAACGCCCAGTTAGGCATGGCCATCATGCGGGCAGGCATCACCCACTGGCATGCAGGGCAGATAGAGGTGGGTCACGGCATGATCTGCAAGGCCTACCGCATCCTTATGTTCACCCACGGACCCAACCACGCCATCACCAGAGACCTAGAGGTATGTCAGGCAGAAGTTTAGTTTTATATTCGATGAAAAAAAATCTGAATATTTAAAAATGATTTAATATTGTAAGCACAACACTCACAGCAACCTTGATTTTTCTGCCCTCAGTCCATGCGCAGGCAGACTGAGCTGGAGCTAAAGATGTTTAAGCAGAACGAGCAGGGGTACCACGCCATGAAGGATGCTGCGCTGAAGAAATGAAAAGATCAGAGCACAAGCAATAATATGATAATATCTTATCACCTTCACTGCTGAAGATCCTATCACTGAAAAATCGGCTGATGTTCTGATGCATGTCTAACACTGACATACATACTGTATGTCCTCTAAAGCACTGCACCCAGCCCCTGTGCTGAGTCTGAATGATACACTGTTCTGTTCAAATCAGCATGTGCAGATGAAACACGAAATGTAACTGTATGTACAGTATCTGCAATAAAAGTGGAGATACGACATGTGTTGTAATCACAGAAATAATAAGCTCCTGACAACCAGCGCTGTTGTTGCTTCCTCCACCGAGCATAAATTATTTGGATTCTTCATATTTAGTTAAGGTCCATGTATAACATTTAGGAGGATTATATAATATGCATAGGTTTCATTAGTGTATAATTACCTAAATATAGGAATCGTGTTTTCATTACCTTAGAATGAGCCATTTTTATGTATTTATTTCCTACATGCTTCATAGCCCATACAAACGCTAGCTGTGTTCAGTTGGTTGCAATCTGAAACGTTACCACTAGGTGCTACTAATTCCTACACACTGGTCTTTTAAGCAAACTAATCAATTATATTGTCTGTAAATGTTATTTCCCTACATGAAACTGTACGCTACATTCTGTTACAGTTCTGGAGGAAAACACAACATTCCGAATCGATTTCCAGGATCTTTCCAGGGCATTTTCTTGACAACACAGTCCATCACTTCACAAATAGTGGTCAGCTGTAGGTGGTCAGACAGTGGGGTATTGCACAAAAGTAGAATAAAGAAGTCCAGGATAATTGAGCAAGCGCAGCTTGACCTAGCCTGCTCGGCGCATCATGGCTTAATTGGTTGCACGTTTGCCGAGCCAGGATGAAAAGGTGCGGCTATGTTAAGCCAGGTGTAGATAGTTGGGATAAGTTTGTGTTCACGGCATACTGAAATAGACCTCGCGATCGCTCACAGAATCACTGATAGGAACATGGATAAGAGCCGTGCTTCATATTTCACGGCCGCTGAACAACAGCTCCTGATGGAGTTCTATGAAGAGGTGGAAGATATAAGAAAAAAAGGCAATACCAATGCCATAATTAAAGAAAGAGAGAAAGCCTGGCAGACAATAGCGGACCGGCTTAATGCTTCAGTAGTCCAAAACTGTACAATGAATAAACAGTGCTCCACTGGAACTGTCATAATTAGGCTCCAATTAAAGGACTAAAGGAGTTACTTTAAGTCCACTAATCAACTGTTGTACACTTTGCTTTAAATGTGGCAAGTAGAGGTGCATGTTACTTAAATGTAGAGTATGATTAAGTGCAAACAATTCCTAAAGAACAAACTTGTCTGGCCATAAAAAGACCTGGCAGCAAGTTACATTAAAGATGTTAAAAAAGTTAAATACAAGAATATTTTGCAGGCTGGTAAGTGACTATAAAGTAGATAACAGTGAACAAATGAGGTGAATAGATTAGGTGTCTGCTGACATGTTGAATGTCTGTATGATATAGCAGTTAAAAAAAAAGCTCATAGAACTGGCACAGGGGGCGGCCCACCAAGCCAGGATATGTGCAGCAAATGGTTCCTTTATTGAGGTTCTCTGCATCCCCAACAGAATAAAGGAAGCTTCCACTTGCAAAACATCTCAATTGAGAGCATGGCTTCCTGCTGTCTGATGCTGTATTTTTGGACCCAGCAGCCTACATAAATATCTCAGTCCATCACCTGAGAATCTGTATCTCTCAATCAGATAGTCATCTCCAATGGCCAATGGGTCTGACCTGTCCCGGAAGACTCTTTCATGACTAAATGCTCGTCTGAGGATTAGGGCTTCCTCATCCAGTACATCCTCCAAAAAAGGGCAAGCCATTATGAAGAGGGAACAGGTGAATGGGAGTTGGATAGTTAGATAGATAGATAGATAGATAGATAGATAGATAGATAGATAGATAGATAGATAGATAGATAGATAGATAGATAGATAGATAGATAGATAGATAGATAGATAGATAGATAGATAGATAGATAGATATTCCTTTATTTGTCCCACAATGGGGAAATTCCAATGTAACAGCAGCAAAGTGGATAGAGAGAAAACAGTATAAATAAACAGTAAGAGTAGGGAAATAATAAAAAACGCTATGTACTACATGTATATATATATATATACATATATACTATATTGCCCTTGTCACAGATTTCATTGAAAACACCTTTGCAACTTCATCAGCTGTGTTTTGTAATCTCAATTACTGCAATAAAAACACATATTTATGAAACCTCTGACGGCATTTTGACAAGCAGTCTTCATTAGCATAGCAATATAACACTTGTCCTGAGTAATAATACTACCACTTGAATCAATATAAAAAGACTGTTGCAATTACAAACAGCCAACAGATTTAAATGAAATGAGAAATGACAATGTAAATATTAGAAATATTACAATGTAATATTTAATGCAGGATAATTAAAATGATGCAACATACTTAGAAAGACCATGGACATGCTGTAAAACACATTAATTCCTCACAGGATCGACGTTGGAAATACAGGTGAATCACTAGGATTAATGTTATACTGGATGTTAGCCTGGTCTGGAGCAGGCTAGCTGCAGAGAATAAATCACCATAGTAACTTGGCTGGGATAAGTTTGACCTGCTTTCATGCAACAGATTTGAGGGTTAGATCACTGAATTGTGGGTTTAGACAGCACTCACAGACGTCCGGGAAACTCACACAGTCTGCGAGTCTGCAAGAGTAAAGTCAAGACATTTGGATTCAGCCTTCCTCAGCCTCTGCTGCAACAACTTCATTTTTTTAAACTATCACAAGTCCTCCAATTCTTGGACGTGCAATACTAAACCAGTGGACTACACCTTTAAGTGCATGAGGTTGGATTGAAAAATGAACACAGATCACTGAACACAGTCCTCTGGTAAGCTGGAGGTTCAGTTTCAAAGCACACAGACATGCATGAGTCCACATTGAAATGCATTGGCTGAACGGCAATTTCTCTCAAGAAATATCATCTTGCTTATTAGGACTCTAAAACAGTTGTAAACATATCATACCACCTGATGCTTGGACAAAAGCAGGAATAAATCTGTATACCAGTATTACCTTTAATACAAGACAATTACCTTTACAGACAGTGAAGCTGAGACACAGCAGGGAGGCTGCTTTAACATGGAAAGCCACACTTTTATTTGAAGTATTGAAGTAGTGTTTTGACAGACACATCCTATTAAATAGGACAATAAGAATCCATTTTACACAAAGATTTTTCATTATTGATACAAAGTTGGAGAGAAAAAGGCAGAACGAAGATCTAAGCAAGAAACCCACACATTATACAAAGAGTATCAAAAAGTTGAAAATAGAAGCTCTGTGCGTTGCTGCTACAGTATCTCATCGTACGGTGAGCCCTGAGAAGTCTGTTTGTGGGTGTCTGCATAGAGGTCAAAGGTCATCCAATAACAGTCTCTGCTCACTGAAGTATTGCTTTAAGCCGAAGTCTAAACAAAAACTCGATCCACTTTGATAAAGTATTCGATCCACGTCACCTTTTCCAATGTTTGTTGTGCTACAATTTAAAAATGTATGTTTTTGTGCATTGTTTATATAACATACTGTGTGTGTGTATATATATATATATATATATATATTAGGGATGAGCGAGAACACCATTATCTTTATCTGTTCAACCACCCATCTGTATTCATATTCATACCTGTTGGACAGGGCTTAAAGCTGCAGTAGGTAACTTTTATTAAAATAACTTTTTGTCATATATGCTGAAACTTTCACTATACCCTGACAGTAGTACATGAGACAGATAATCTGTGAAACGATCAGAACCGGGCCCGAACGAAAACAACCAATCAGAGCCCAGAAAGATAGTTGATTGTAGAGTCTCAGAATGTGAAAAACATTACATACACTTTGGGACCCTGGGAATGAGACAAAACAATCATTGTTCAATTGTTTGTTCGGGCCCGGTGGATTCTTGTAAATGCCATTAGGAGCACTAGGAGGAGCCAGAGGATGTACTACTGTCAGGATATAGTGAAAGGTTCAGCTAATATGACAAAAAGTTATTTTTATAAAAACTACCTACTGCAGCTTTACACCGGACGTGGGTGGTGCTTAAAATGGGAGTGGTCATAGCTAACCTGAGGTTGTTAATTTAAGTCGGAAATTGTTCAGTTGATCAGAAGTTGCTACATTTATTAGAAAATTATTTACAGAATTGAGCTTGAGAGCAATCTTTTTGATCACAAAAGTCAGAACAGAATGTTTTAATAAAAGCTGCTACATTTACGAGTATGGATAAGTACATCTAATACTCGTTTCAGCCAAGTACTTGCTCAACCCTACTATATATATCTATATATAGATATATATTTGTAGAGTCAACAGAAACACCCTCATTAAATAAAGAAAATATTGTGAATAAAATTTTAAATTAAGTGGATACATAGCACAACAAGGAGAAAATGAAGAGGTTTGAATATTTTCCAAAGCCACTGCATATGAGATATATTAACAATACATTACTGTACATTAGTGTTTTCCAGTTAAAGTCCATTTGAAATCACACATCAAAATGATTCAACCTCAAATGAGATTTCACAGACTAATTCATACAAAGTACCAAATCTCAGATCAAACAGTAAAGTGACAGCAGCTGTGTGTTTAGTGTCCTCTCCTGAGATGCTCCGTCTCACTGAACAACACAGAGCTCGGTGCCGGACTGATTGTGAGCGTCCCCCGTCCTGTCAGCGTCTCTGTGAGTCCTGCTGTGCTCGTCTGACACTCCGTCCTGTTCGTACGACTGGGGCTCCAGACTCTGCCTCAGCTCCATCAGCAACTCTTTGCCATCACTTGATGGCAGGTTTCCCAGGTAGTACTGAGGGGCCAGCTCCACGAGCCTACAGCACAGAGGAGAGCAAGAGGATGTTCATTATATCGGCTTTATACTGGGCTGTAGAGCAGTTGCATTGAAACATGGACATGTCTCTTCCTCTAATGAGAGACGAGAATGACACCAGTAACCATGGTAACTATACACAACAAATATGGTGACAGATGTAGCCTCAAAATGCTTAAAAGACATATGTAACAATAGGGTGTAAAATTTACTTTCGTTTTGTTTTTAGCTTGTTTTTTTGGCAGGTGACTGAAGCAAATATACTGACCACTTTAAACAGCATTTGGCTGGTGGCTGGTGCTAAGTGTTTGCCCTGTATAACAAATTCAAAGACATGACAAAACTTTTACAAAAATATCACTGACAGCACCAAATGCTTTTGACCACATTTAATAACTTCACTACATCAGTCAAACTCAAGTCCCAAGATTAACACTTAGTCCTGCTTCATCATAAACAGATATATGAAGAAAGAAATAATTATAATAATTAATTAAGAAATAAAAAAGAACTTGCACATATAAAACAATCCATTGAATCCATTTTGTGGTAGGACTCACATCTGAGGGTGGACTTCGGAAGCGATGCGAATGCAGTTATCGCGGGAGATGGTGAATTCGTGGTAGAGGACCCAGCTGGGGGGGTCGGGGCGTGGCTGGCGGCACAGGTAGGAGGAGAAGGGGTGCAGGTGAGCCACGTGGCGGTGAGTTAGCAGGAGGTAGTTACCTGAGCCGTCCACATCATGAGCCACCTGAAAAGGACGACAATAACAACAAAGTGAGAAAATATGGTAGTAACAGTAACAGTAATGTTACTATGGAAGGTGTGATATGGGGAATAGAGTTAGACCAACACACTAGTTTATAATATATATAACAGAATATTATGTACTAGTCAGTATGCGCGACTATTGAATTATCACCCAGCCCTACACTAGCAAGGCTAAAATAATATATTACAAGAAATGAAACATAGTATAAATATAATAGTAGACATGTAACTGAGATAATATATATAAGAAATAAAAGTCATTAAAGGAAGAGGCAACTGATGAATTTTCCATCACACAGTTTTAAGAAAACCAGGTGTTTACTTTGAGGAAGAAGCCTGAGATGAGCGCACGCTTGATGTTCGTGCAGTTGTCTTGGCATCCAAAAGCGGGAGGAGAAACAGGAAGCTCTATTCGCTGCATCACCTCCAGCAGCTCCGCCCTGATCACCACAGCCAATCGTAAGGCAGCGTGACTGAGGAAGTTTGTTGTGCACCACACCTCATCCTGATTATCTGCAATTACCACACACAAACCATCCAATAACTTGAATATATATTATATGTCAGCAAAACCTTAATAGTCATTGTAATAAAATACTGCAGGGTTCCCACTGTGGTCGTTATGCTAAATATTCCAGTGTCCAGTGAGGATAACAAATATCCTAATATTGCCTGTTTGAAACACACCTGTGAGAACCAGGGATCAAGTTAACTGAATATTTTCCAGCAGTGACTGAATTTGTTTTAACAATGATGGAATAATCGTAAGGCCAACGGGTTGTAACGTAACTTAACCCTTTCTTGGTGGCGTGTGGACTGATGCGTTTCTATGCAGGTCAGATTTTCCCAAAATCCAAAGGATGTGACCTTTATACTAGCTAATGTTAGCTTATAAATGGAGTCCGCTGACGTCAACAAACGACCAACACCTACCACAACACAAGTCCAACACAAACACAATGTATTGTGATATTATGGTTTTGTGCTTGCTAACCCGGAGGAATTACAAGCTAACGTAGCGAAATACTGTGAGAACAGCCACTGGGGTCACTATTAACAATGATCTTCTGAAAGTTGCATAAAGAACCTTTAAATAGGCTATATGTCTTATTATCCTTAAACAAATAAAATTAAAATGACAGGAAATAATACATTATTTACAGAATTTATTCAACTCTCTCTTTCAAATTGACGGACAAGGAGAAAGTCTAGCACAACCTAACCTTTCCAAGGATTTAAGTAATGAAGGCTGAAGTGTACGTACGCTCTTTGAAGGCGTTATAAATATTAATGAGGGTCATGTGGTCTCCCTCCGTGTGCATTAGAGGTCGCCAGTGTGTGACCGCAGCCTCCTCTCTGCTGGGTTCTGCTGTCACGAAGCAGGAAGGAGCTGATACAAGACAAACATCAGATCAAATGCAAATGTTGTTACACCTTATTTACACAGCTAAGGCAAAGCCTGTCACTGTGTCATGGGCATTATATCTCTGCAAATGTGAGCTGACTGTTTGCAGTTACCTGTGAGCATGGCAGCTATAGTGAGCAGCTCATCAACACAGTCGTACTCGCAGGCAGCGATCAGGGCTTTAGCCAGCGGTGGCTCCAGTGGCAGCTCTGACATTATGATGCCCACCTCTGACAGGTTACCATCATCATCCAGCGCTGCCAGGTAGTCCAGGTCCTCCAGGGCCTGCATTAGAGCCTCAGGGGCTGGCATTGAAAAATAAATATGGAGCAGAGAGGGAGGGAGGGAGGGAGGAGGTAGAGACCACATTTTATTGAGAGAGAGAGAGACATGGTCTTAGACTTGGAAGTGCTGATACAACACCAACTGCAAACTGCTGTAGGACACATCTGTGGATAATGGTCTGACGAAGCAACAGGGATGGCCTGGACACTGGACACACTACTCTAATGTCAGTGAACTATAGTAGACACTCCACAAATGTGACACACAGGGAGGACAAAGTGCACCGTTCACTGGGCTTGATAAACCAGCTGTTCTATTTTTTTTGCCACAGAAAGACCAAAACCAACAATGTGTTTTTATCAAACGTTAATAAAACAGTTGGAAATTCTAAATGACTCTGTGATGCATTGCCTTCCTTAGAAGTTATATATGAGATTTAAAACTTTAATAAGGTCAAATTCGAGTTTTTGTCTATGGAGTCTGGTGGAGAGTGACAGGGATATTACGGCTGTTTCTGGTTAAACCTTTCCATAAGGCTGTCAGCCACTGAGAATAACAATCTGAGCCAGTCAGTGGCAAAAACAACTACTTTTAGTGGACAGACTTTGACGGGTGCATTTGTCCTCAAGGATTAATGTTAGCTTATTTTGTGGCCACTGCAGCCCTTTTCACCAATGTTTCCATATCTAACTCAGTGAATTGAGGGTTTATTTTTACCAAACCAGAGTTGTTGATTGTTGGAAAAACTGTGGAAAGAGTAAAATAGACAATTTTGGTGAGTTAGATTTGGTTTCAGTCCAGTTTGAAGTGTGTTTTATGATTATCTCCTCTGTAAAATTACTGGTTTTGTGAATGGAGTCCAGTCGGCCGAATTGCCAATTCTTTTTATTTTATTTCTGTCTTATTGTTTTGGCCTGAGATGCTGGTGCTCTAGTGCGACATCCAGTGGCAAGTGAAAGTGTTATTCACAGTATCTCATAGCTCATACCTGGTCTGTCCAGGAACTTGCACTGTCCCATGTCGGCAATATCAAGCCTCTTGAGGAGCAGCACCAGGTGGCTGAGGTTTTCCTCCACCACCCCTGGACAATGAGCCTCCCCCATCCCATCGTCATACAGAGACTGGGGGTAAAGACGGAGACACAGCCCTGAAGACCATGAAGGAGAACACATGAAGTAAACAGTCATGATACAGTACATTACTCTTATAATGAAAATTATAATGAATATACAGAAAGTAAACAGGATATAAAAAAGTAAGAAATTGTAAACAAACTGCAGCAATGACCTTTGACCTACCTGGAAGGTGGCTGTTCACCCTTTGAGTGCGCATGTCGGCCTGGTGTTTGCTGATTGTCCTCAGGACCTGTGAGTTTGCTCTTATTTGTGGGTTGTAAACCTGTGGCAGAGAATCATTGTTGAAATGGAAATTTGTCCCTACAGTGTGCTGTTTGAATACTGTTTGTGCAGAGTTTGACAGTAGAAGGATGTTTTCACATTCATTTGTTGAAAGTGGAAAGTTTCTCTGAGCTCATTGAAAAACTGATTTTAAGGATTTAAAGATTTTCATCCACTGAGAATAGACTTTCCAGTGACGTAGGAGACATCTTGTGTTCAGCAGGAAAACTTTAGAAATCAACAACATTTGCATATTCAGAGATTCTGGAGGTTTTAATGAGCTAGAAGGAGTAGGTGACTTTTTAAGGACTTTAATGTGGAAATTAAGCTTTTTTTGTCAGACACACATTATTGTTCCAAGCAGACTATTTGTATATATGTCTTTAATAATCTGTAACTGAATCATGATAAACATAAACTCACAGTTTTGAGTTGAAGGCCTGTGTCTATGACGTAGCGAATAGCCGGCAGGGAGAAGGAAGCCTCTCCAAGGGTATCGGTGAGGATAACCTTCCTTTTGACCCCGGGACCCCCGGCTCCCAGTGCTGAGCTGTCCACGCCCTCTGAGCTGTCGTTCTCCCTCACAGCAGAAGCTTCGGGATCGGATTCGTAGACCCGCTGGGCCAGCCCACCCAGTCCAGCGTGGAGGGGGAGGATCCTGAGAGGACCGAGCTGAGGGCTCAGCGCTACGCACTCCTTCTCCAGCAGAGCCACACACTCTTCTGTTTCCTACACAGAACAGGAAGGAGAGAGAATGGGGCCTCAGTTTCAAACATCCACTCTCAAGGTCTTCACTGACACAAGGCCTGAGAAGTGTTTTGTGCTTAAGTGTGTCATGTTTGTACACTCACTGTGTGTGTGTGTGTGTGTGTGTGTGTGTGTGTGTGTGTGTGTGTGTGTGTGTGTGTGTGTGTTCACTGAGGATTAACCAGAACAGATCAGTGTCATATAAATCTAGCCTCAGCTCACACAGGCACACACGCTACGCTCTGTCTTGGACCTGGACTGCGAGTCGAGGAGCAGGAGGTGTGGGGATGTTGACACAGAGGGAGTTCAATGTTAAATGTGTGAGAGAGTTTGTTACACTGTACTGTAGGTCAATATGTACTCATAGCTTTAGCACATGACAGATATTTTGTGTGTGTGTGTGTGTGTGTGTGTGTGTGTGTGTGTGTGTGTGTGTGTGTGTGTGTGTGTGTGAACCAGGACACCAGACACCTGCAATGCACCAGAGGCCTCTCAGGTTGAGGTGTCCTTGTTTCCCTCCTCTACAAGACAAAGGTGGTGAAACTCTACAGCACAGCACAGAGAGAACATTGGTTCACCAGTTTTCCTTTTGTTAAAACTATAAAGAGACAGAGTATTCAATGGGGAAATGATAATTCCTTCCTACTGCAAAACAGCTACATCTATTACTGTTGCTGGACTGTTATGTATCATTGTTTAGTTTAGTTTTTTGGCACATAGAAATGCTGAGCTCTTCACTATGCAACAACTAATATCATTTTTCTTTACACATGTGGCTGCTTGGCTCGACTCGGTTGGACTCGGTGCACCAGCCCAGTGTGGCAGGGTTTTGAATCTCCATTACAACATGACTACCTGAAGGTCTGTCTTAGCAGGCAGAATGAAAAGAAAGGGGTCTGCGTTTCTTTTCAAGAAAAGCTGCTAATCTCCGCTCCGGTGATGAACACATTTAACTTCTTATAAATTCTCCACATAAAAAGTTATTTTGTTAATGCTTTTGTTATGAAGCAGCAAAATCAGGAAGTGTTGGGTTTTCATCAGCAGTAACTTAACACAGCTCCTACACAGCTGAAAGAGAAGTTTAAACAGAAAAATAAAGCAGATATGTGAAAGTACAAACAGGAGAGAAACTAAACTTCAAACCACACACATTCAGTTCAAAGCTAAAGACTTTTAAAAAATGACTCTCTCTTGTCTCCTGTAAAGAGAGTTTTAACATGTATTTTAAGAGAAGCAGGATGGTGGATCCTCAGTTTCAAAGTCTTCGCCTGCAGCCGCCATGTCTTTACATCAATACACTGTTACAGGAGACTTAGGCCACTCAAGACATGTTTTCTAACCTTAGTGCTCAATACACATGCCTAGGGTTTCAACCAATGGTCATTTTCATACTCCGATAAGCTTCCAAATGTTTTCTTGACTAATTGTTTTTTTCCATAAAATGTCAGAAAATTCCCATTCCACACTGGTCCTTTAAGTCATAATTAGACAGCTTGGTCAGAAACATAATGTGATAATATTTATGTATATTTTGCCTAAGCACATAGATATTCATTCAAATTAGGGCTGCAACGATTCCTCGAGTACCTCGACTAACTCCATTACAAAAAATGATCGAGGAATTTCCTCTGCCTCGTTTAATTAAATTTAAAACTCACGTTTCGCACGAATTCTTTTTAGTGTGACGGCGTTATTTTTTCCGTAAGGGAGTAATCTAATTAATTACTTTTCCCATCGTTGCAACGCCGTTACCGTTACTGATAATGTAAAGTGGCGCGTTACTTGCGTTCCTACAATGTGGTTGAATGAAGCGCAGCCGGGAGAGAGCAGGGTGGGGATGATTGGCTGGGTGGGCGGAGGCCCTGCTCACGCTGTCTCACTACTACTATGAACACAACACAGAGACAATGGCGACGAGCCAGCGAAGTTCAAAGGTAGCGATATCAAACTTGAAGTACCGACACTACTTCTCGCTTACTGAAGTTAAAGGCAAGAATGTTTACGCTTGATTTTCGGGTCAGTAACAGGTGGCGACTAGGGCCGAGCTGAACACACTGACTGCAAGATATGTTGTTGAAAACATGCTACCTGTCCATTATTTCTATGCATATGGCCGGCTGCAATCTGTTGAGTTCAAATAAATACCAAATGTTCTGAAATACTGTATATAGTGTTTTTATTCTTCATTCAGTTATTATAAACATATTTTACGTTATAGAAGATGTTATAGGATGTAATAGCGTTATAGGACATACAAAATAACGTCAGTTACTTTGCTGAGTAACTAATTACTTTACAATGTAGTAACTGGAAGAGACAGAGGACGTCGAAGGTGTGGGATCATTTTAAATTAAAATTAAGGACAACATTTTTATTTTATTTTTGATACTTAGAAAAAATATGTCTTATGTCTCAGGAAATGAAGTGAATTTGAATGAAGTAATTTTATTTATTTATATTGGAAATTTGAAACGGTTTACTACTTTACATAATATGTATGTATAATAATAAATAAATGTAAATTTTTCTTAAATAGGAAACAAATTGTTTTTATTATTAAGTGATCTGTCTTGTTTTCTATTGTATATTTAAAATTGGGCTTTAATTAAGCAAAAGTATGTTTTATCCGATTACTCGATTAATCGATGGAATATTCAATAGAATACTCAAATCAAATTGTGAAATTTAGTAAAAATCTAAACATTAAATCACTCCAGAACCTATAAGAGATGAGAGTATAAAACTTGTACCTGTGCACTGGCCAAAAACACCATCACATTTCCTTCCTCTCCTCTTCTGTGCAGATCCAGCACCATGTGACAGGCAGCAGCAACCGGTTCCTTCCCAGGTGAGACCTCCCGGTACAACGTCTCTACCGTGTTCATCCCAACAGCCTTCTTGTCCTCCTCTACCTCACGTCCATCCTCCTCCTCCTCCTCCTCCTCTCTGGTAGGGGGGTCAGTTAGCAGGCTGTCCAGGGAGAGGTGAGGGACTGATGGTCCCAGGAAGGCGGACAGGCGAGGTTCCAGTGTTGGGTGAGTGAGGAGAACAACCCGGAAGTTGTCTGGCCTCTGCCGGCAGACGTCACACAGCAAGCCCAGCAGCACGTCAGTGGGCACGGTGCGCTCCTGGAGCTCGTCCAACACCACAATTCCATACTGATGCAGCAGAGGGTCTGACATCATTTCCTCTAGCAGGAGAGTGTCACTGACAAACCTGGGGACAGGGATAGAACCTTTAAACAAATAACTCTTAAATAGAGTTCCTAAAGCATTTTGAAACAGGGTGGCACAGAGGATCAAACCCCACAAAAACGACTATTAATGGCCAGGAGCTCTGTCAAAGCATCCTTTGGCTCATAATTAAGAGAGCATGTGATGATAAAGTTGGACATGGATGTACATTTATTTACTCCTTTTATTTCTTACAAAAACACTATTTGCCCAGCAACAAACAGCAGACTGGTGAATATAGTGGAGCATTTAGCAGCTAAAGAGACAGATATTTTACTACAGATGACCAAAACAGAGCTGAAAGGGAGTGAATATTGCACTTGCGCTTTGTGTGTGCCAGAGGTGTAAACTGGCAACTGTTTGCTAACAAGTTCACCATAACACGTTTAAGGTGATGTTATGTAAATGCTGTTTTCAGCGTGTTGTGTTGTCCACAAGTGGCCAAAATAACAACTGATGTAGCTTTAATAGGACATCACACTTTTTACTAGTAGGAATATCAAACAAGTAAAATGCGTCCGTACTTGTAAATATCAACTTTTATAAAAAAGTTGTCTGACTTATGATCAACAACATTTGTTTAAACCTCAGAGAGTGCAGGAAAGGACAAAAGAAATGATTTACAGTGAATAAACTGCTACAACACTTTACTGCCACCTTGGACAGCAACCTGCAGGGCACTGAGAACAAAGAGTCAAGGTGGGGCTGAAAGAAAGACCACGTAATCATAAAAAACTGCTGAAATCCAATGAAGCCATCTACATTACCTCAGGGGAGGAGAAGATGGTCACACTTGATACGGACCAGAAGTGAGCTCAGAAAAAAAAAGCAATGAATGGATTTCCCTACAGTCTGGCAGAGCCCATTTTGAGGAGTGATATCTTGTACTTGTGCTCAGCCTTTTTAAACCATCTCTCACACTCAGACCAGACCTTTTCAGATGGACTTTAAAGGGCCATACATTAAATAAAAGAGCATTATAAATGTACCCTTTTTAAAACTTGAAAAAAATAAAAATAAAATAAAATGAATAAATAGTAATGGTACTTTAACAGGCATAATGAAGGGATAATGGCACATTGGACACTATGACCTATATGGAGATGTACCTCCAGACCTCTAGATGCTAGTCTATAGAGACCACTCAGCTGTCATCCCTAATATAGTCCAGAAAGGGGCCCCAAATATTAAAAAACTTCAATGGTTTGTCCTTTAATCAATATTTTTGGAGTTTCAGTTTACTGAACAGAATTATCAACTACTGTATATATATGTGGATTATTAATGCATTACATTTTCTTCTCTGTTCCTATAATTGTCAACTGTTTAAAGCTGCCATGTCAGTTTAAACACTAAATAGTGTTGATCATAAAAAACAAAACAATGAAAACAATTTTGTTTGTAGCTGTAATTGTGCAACTGACAATGAGAGTCATTAAAAGGGGTGAAAATAAGAGGATGTCATTATCCATTGTCTGTTATCTTTGCTTCCTAACCTGAGCAGGGTGTCGGGTGTACAGCTGTCATCATGAGACACCCTGTAGCCCACCTCCAGACCTAGGCTGAGATCCATCTCATCAGCCACGCGAAAGGCCAGACTCACCGCTGCCACCGAACAGGGCTGGGAACAGCACACCAGGCCCTGAGAAAACTCATAGGACAAAGCATACTCCACACACCACTGTGGCACCTAAAGGGAGGACAGGAGAAGGAAGAGAAAAAAGACAAGAGGTCAACAACAAGAAGAGGAAGTAGTAATAGAATACTAGTGACATGAATAAAGAATGCACACCTTAAAAGTAAGTTATATTTGTGGAACACTTGAACATGAAGGTGAAGCAATTCCCTGACAGGTGTCACAGACTTGTTACTTTTTACAATGTTCAGCTTTCAATGGCAACTTGCAGTGTAAGTTCAGAGTGGTTCAGAGGGGTTCAGCAGCTCTCACTAGGACAATGTGCACATGCCCAGACTCTACAGTCAAAAATATATGGGTCAAGTCCACCCACTGTCTAAGTGCCTCACACCAAAAATAAACCTATTAAGTCTGTATGATTGTTAGAAACTATAGAAAATACATAATACAGACAGAACATTTTATAAAAAGTTACCTAAACAGGAAATAATCTGCTCAAAATTCATCCAGATCACTAATTTTTTCTTGCAGTTGCTGAGTTCACGGTTTGTGTTCATTGTACAGTTTTCAATATGATATGGAATATCCATAAAATATGTCACTCAATTAGGGGTCGTGAGTTTACTAAATGATAGAAAACCACTGCTCTGAACCATGAATACAATTTGCTTGAAGTTCTTACAGCTTTTTTTAGCCACTTGGGGGCAGAAGAACTCCACAACAATCTGAGAAACACTGACTAATATTATCCATTATCAAGACGTTATGGTTAACATGTTAGCATAAGCTTGTCTACTTGCACATCCAGCAGACACAGAGCAACATTAGCTTTCATTAGGAGTCGTGTTTATAATGTATTCACTGTCGTTCTGGCTTTGTTTTGTTTTCCACCAACTCTCTAGAGAAATATCTGGACATGAGGATGACACAAACCAAAATAATGAGCAGCTAGAAGGAGAAATAAAATATTGCTTATATGATATTGCAGCTGTAACTGCTAGATGTTCCACTTTCTTCTTCAGCTAATGCTGTTTGCTCTTTGGTGGGTTTAACGGAGCTTCCCCACTGAAAACAGCTGCCTGCTGCTGCTGGAGACGAGGATGAGAGCACCGAGAGTGAAATGAACCATAAATGTGCAATAAAACCAAAGTAAACCAAAAAACCTTCCTATTCCATGCACTCATTTGAGCCATTGTTAATATAGAAAATATGCTTTTATCCACTTGGCTTACAGTGCTGTAGGTGTGTACATGACCCTGTAATAAATGAGCAAGCAACTAAAGTGCCATCCATGGAATGAATAAACACGGCTTGACAATAGACCTTGAATAAATATTTAATCAAAGCCTGCATTAGATCTAATGATGAGGACAATGACAGACATAAGCCCAGCAAGACTAATAGGGATTCAAATAAAGACTAAATATTTAAAGAACACAAATAATGCAGAATATTCAGACCGGCATGGAAATGTAATCTACATGGCATCAATGTTGTGTCTTCTAAAATATTACATTTGAATGACATTTTGAGGAAGATACCAGTTGATCTTATTCAAGTCTGATTGAGAGTGAAGACATTACATGCAGCCAGCTGTAAGAAGAAGTGCAAAGGTCAAAGTGACAGTGCTCTAACAACATCTGTAACTGTAAGTGTGAGATACAGCTGTAAAAGAACAGGAGAAAGTGTTTAAGACACTTGGCAGTGGCATTAACTGTGCAGAGTTGAAGGTGCTGGAAAGGGGAGCCCACAGTGTTTGTTGATGAAAAGAGTGTTCAGGTTACAGCACAACAGTGTAATTCAACTGAAGTGCTTTAATGCTGTCATTCATTAGCCTGAAGGGAGTGGAGCTGAGGAGCAGGTGTAATGATAGCCAAGACATTGCACGGAGGGTGACACAAAAAGACACCTCTACTCTAAAGAGAGTAGTGTTCAGTATGGGACTGTTAATGTGTAATGCTCAAAGCATTACCTTGGACTTTAATAAAAACACTAACACGCAAAACGAAGTCATACGGAGTAAATTAAGGTGTTAAATAAATTACTATTTTGTATCAGTGCTAAAATCTATACTTGGTACTAGTATATGAAATTCACTCATTACCAACATCCTCTCAAACTGTGGTATGCAAACATCTTATGATCTCAGAATCATGGCAAAGTATTACTGTTGAGATCAGATCATCTTTTCTTATATGTACTACACTGAACAAAATTATAAACGCAACACTTTTGTCTTTGCCCCCATCCATCGAATGTGAGCATTTGTCCACTCAAGTCGGTAACGACGACAAACTGGAGTCAGGTCGAGACCCCTATGAGGTCGACGAGCATGCAGATGAGCTTCCCTGAGACAGTTCCTGACAGTTTGTGCAGAAATTCTTTGGTTATGCAAACCGATTGTTGCAGCAGCTGTCCGGGTGGCTGGTCTCAGACGATCTTGGAGGTGAAGATGCTGGATGTGGAGGTCCTGGGCTGGTGTGGTTACACGTGGTCTGCGGTTGTGAGGCTGGTTGGATGTATTGCCAAATTCTCTGAAACGCCTCTGGAGACGGCTTATGGTAGAGAAATGAACATTCAATTCACGGGCAACAGCTCTGGTGGACATTCCTGCAGTCAGCATGCCACTTGCACGCTCCCTCAAAACTTGCGACGTGTGGCATTGTGCTATGTGATGGAACTGGCCTTTTATTGTGGCCAGCCTAAGGCACACCTGTGCAATACCCATGCTGTCTGATCAGCATCTTGATATGCCACACCTGTGAGGTGGATGGATGATCTCAGCAAAGGAGAAGTTCTCACTAACACAGATTTTGACAGATTTGTGAACAATATTTGAGAGAAATGGGCCTTTTGTGTACATAGAGAAAGTCTTAGATCTTTGAGTTCAGCTCATGATGAATGGGGGCAAAAACAAAAGTGTTGCGTTTATAATTTTGTTCAGTGTATATATATTGACCATTGACAAAAAACAATCATTGATAATTGTAAAATGCACTTCAAACTGGAGAGAAGAAAAACAGATCTCACCAAAACTTTCTTTGTTAGTCTTTCTAACAAACACTAACACTGGCTTGGTTGAAATAAACCCATCATTTATCAAAATAGCTGCAAAACGGGTTGCTATGGCTTCCGTGTAACGTTAGCTAATCCTTGGAGACAAAAACGTCTGCCAAAATACGTCCACTAAAAGTACTTGTTTTTGCCACTGACAGCTCAGATTGTTATTCTCAGACAAAATTATAGAAAGGATCTCTACAGAGATAGACCTTTTGTTCAACCAGAAACAGACGTAATATCACTATCACCGTACCACAGTCTTTGTTAGTCTTTCCAATAATCATCAACTCTGATTTGGTTGAAATGAATCCTAAATTCACTGATAGTAGTTGTAGTTAACCCTAACCCTCTACTCAGCTGCACACGGAGCAGACCGGCTATGGAAACAAACGACAGAGAGGCTGTGATAGCAACACAGGCAGAGGGAGAGTGACACCATGACTCCACTATATCTTTACATAGAGAATAGCTGTTAGCTGTTATATTCATGTTTTAAATCTCTCATATATATATATATATATATATATATATATATATATATACATACACACACACACATACACAAATACTCTATCCAGCTGCCAGAAATACTCACTAGAGCACCAAATGTGGATTAATCCGTCGCTGAAAATAGTCCCTAACTAATGGCTCAGATTGAAGTGTCTGACAGCATTATGGGAAGCACGATTTAGGGCGTACTTTACTGTTGTAAGTTGATCTGGATACAAGAGTATCAATACAATAACATTTACCAATTTATGCAGTAGACCAGATGGAAAAAGGATGCAAAAACTTTATCATAGATAAAAAAACGCTACTATGGTTGCAACAAACACTGTCAATTTACAGATATCAAAGGTTCAGGTTTAGAGTTGGACCTGAATAAACCCAGGTGGTTACATACACTCCATGTTATTTTTCCTAAATTAAGAAGGTGCTGAGGTGTTAAGGTGTTGATTACTGGTTACCTGCGTGCTTTTTCCAGCTCCACCGGGTGCACTGAGCAGCACCATGTTGTGGCTCTCCAGGTGCTCTAGTAGGCTCTGTCTGAGCCTCCATATGGGAAATCTCCTCCTCTCTTCCAGCAGGGAGTAGTAGCGAGAAGAAAAGGGCAAACCGTCATATGGGTTCACTTCCAGGTCTCCCAGACCTTCCCCCTCTCCCTCTCCTCTCCCTCCATCTCCTTCATCGTCTAAATCCCCGGACAGCAGGGAAGACAGGGACAGGGAGTCCAGGGCTGTTGTGGGCGGCAGCTGGGACCTGGGGGAGAGGGAGGCAGCGGAGGGCTTCGCTGGTGGTGATGACATCATCAGCAGGGGGTGCGGGGGATGAGGAAGGAGTGAGGACCTGGTTCACAGAGAGGACTGAGATCACCTGCAGGGAAGGAAAAACCTTAGTGAATGATATTGACATGAAATACAGGAAGGAGTCAGGGGAGGTTAGACAGTGGCTATATTCACACAGCAGGTAAAAGTGTCCCAAACCTGATTTGTTAGGCTCATATGTAACCCAGATCTGATTTTTTTCATGAAAGTGTGAACAGCACAAATCACATTCAATCTGGTCTTTTCAATTCTGATTTGGACCATTCAGATACAGGTCGGATTTTTTGCAATGTGACCTCAGTGTGAACAGTTTTTACGAGACTCTAGATTAACATTGAACACAATCCTGCGCTGGCAGTGGATACACATATGGAAGACAGCTGCGATGGAGGTAGTCAGTTGAAGGACAGTCAAGTTTTAGACCTCATAACCAAAACCTGAGGGGTCGTATCATAATCAGTGGGAATGTACCCAGGGTTCCCATTCTATTTAAGAAATCCTTTTCTTAAATAGAAAATTGCCAATACAGGGCAGGTAGGTAGTCTGTGTTTATGGGACACTCTGCAGTAGCTCACTATTGTGGTCTCTGGTGCATTGACTACTTTACTACAATAACATGAATTCGGCCAGAAGTAACAGTTCATATCAAGCAGAATTTATCTTGTTTCACAGCTGGGAATGAGGAGCTAAACTACAAAATTAAAATAAAAATAAAATTCTTACTTGCAAGGTTTCTATGACTGCACTAAATAAAAGGAATCTCGAGAAAGTAAAAAAAGCTTTGTTTCTGGGAAATTAGTCTTATTTTATATTTTGAAAATCTATCTAACTTAGATATTACAGCTAATACTGAGCTAGATTTAACCAGTAACGAGTTACAACAATGGTTTGCATAATATCCCAGCAGAGGAAAGAGATTATTTTCATTATTTTAGGAGTAAGACCACTCACACCACTTCTCAGTTTAAGAGAAAGTGGTCTGGTCCCAGTGTTGGAAATTAAGTAGCTGTAGTTTTTCATTGTTTTAATAAAAAATGCAAATTATTCATTATATTAGGCTATAAATTCTTAAATTCAGCTCAATAAACTTACCAAAATTATTTAAATAAAGCACAACTTACTTTTTTTTTTTTTTATTACTACTTTTAAGGCCCATTACAGTCTTTCAGTGGCTGACCTACCCCATTGACAGATTGTTTTTGCTCAATACAAGAAAATCTGATTATATTTAAAAATATTTAGCTTATTTCTGTTAGGGTTGTTTTGCAGTGTGGAAAACTAGTCTCTAAATTTCAAATCTTGAGTTGAATGTATTGTTTTATCACTGGTATCTGGTCTGTGTTTGCACCACAAAAAATCTGAATAAATCTGGCTCGCTTTCTCTTGTCCTCATTATCGTCTGCTCATGAATTCTCTTGCTTCCACTGCACATCTACTAACAAATGAGGCCTGCGGTGCCAATTAGCCTCTGACACTGAGCTGACAGTACAGTCAGAGGAGGCTCTACAAAGACAGCTGAGAAGAAGTAAAAGCAGGGATATTTCACTTGTATTTCAGGTGTCACAAACATCACTGTGAAGCAGACCTCAGGGGCCACAGTACTTCCTGTCTCCTTCCCCTAAACAGGCCCTTCATAGGAACCTGTAGCATGTGTGGTATTTAACTGTGGAATGCTGGTCTCCACCCAGATGCCAGTGTGTGTGTTAGCCAGCTGCAATAGATGTGATGTGTTTGAAGTGGAAGGGCCTGCAGCCACCTCACTGCTGTGCTGCTCTAGTCACGCTGAGACAAGACAGGAAATCACATGAACAAAGAGGCACATGACTAAAAAAAGCTTCTACTCCACTGGTTGTCCATCAGCTGATGGTGTGAAAGGAAAACAGGAGCTATATAAAAACGTATTGAGTCCTTTTATTGATTATGTTGAACACGCAGACACACAGAAGTGTACCGGGTCAATGGAGTGAATCTGGAGATGATTGGATGGAAGCCTAGCATGCCTCGCTTTATGGGGACTGTATGATTGGACGAAGTTGGACATTGGTACTTGTTGTAGGAGAAACATATTTATTAAACTCATATCAGTCGATCTCTATGAATGAAAACACCCTAAATGCCTGAGGAGTGTTGCTCTGATTATTTTTATGAATTATAATAGTATTAATTAAAATAGCGAAGATCAATTATTGATTGATATTAATAATAATTCATTTGGAATTCTTATGCAAAATTATTGATAGGCTTTAACCTTACTAGAAAAAAAACAAAAGAACACCTGAAGAGTCAGAACTGTTGTAGTTGTAGTTGTTGTTGTTGTTGTTGACAATAGTGATGTCAGTTAGACTGGGTTAGATCAGAGCTATGGAATATTAAATCTTCCATCTTTGCTCACTAAATCTCAGACTTTCTTAACCTCAGGTTATGAACTGAAATGATCAATATCTTATCGGTGTCAGCCATGAGAAGCAGGTAATTAACATATCGGCTGAAAAAAGATCCATATCATGTATCGCTACTAATAAAGGAAGAAAAGAGAGTGTATGATATAATATCAGAGCAAACCATTAATAAGAAAAATGTTTATTTTCTCAAAGCAAGAATTGTTATCCGCAACAAAACTACAGGAGCTGTAATGAGTGTCCGTACTGATTCAAGACAGACTTGGTTAATAGCAGACAATATATTAAAGGTCCAGTGTGTAACATTGAGGAGGATCTATTGTCAGAAATAGTGTATAATCAGCTATGTACAGGAATCGTTGTGTTTTTGTTACCTTAGAATGAGCCTTTTATAGCTACAGACACCGTGAGTCGCCTTCCATGGAATCCACCTTGTTGAGCCACCATGTCTCTACAGTAGCCCAGAAAGGACAAATCAAATACTGGCTGTAGATAGGGCCTTTTGCATTAGTTTCTCCTTCGCTTTTGGAAAGGGAGGGTGAAACGAAGTACTTGCAATCTGCAAATCCACCACTAGATGCCACTATAATAAACCCACGTCATACTAGAATATATGGTACAACATGAACCACTATACTATAGAGGCTACATGCTATAGACATGGTGGACAAACACACTAATATAGATAAATGGACAGTGTGTTTAGTACATTTGGAGACCTGTCCTTTATTCAGAATCAATTTAGGCATTTTAGAATTTCAATAAAAGAAATCTGAAATCTCTCATTTATACCTATTGTATTTATTCAGCACTCTGTAAACAAATCACTAGCAGCACATCAGTTTGGAATCATCTTTGGTCTGTCTGTACCAGCTTTGTACTCATGGAGTTTTTCTCACTCGTCCTTGCAGATCCTCTCAGAGCTGTCAGATCTGATTAGATGGGAAACGCTGGGGAACTGTGATGTACAGATCTGCAGGACATTGACTGACTTATCCTGATGTCTTAGCATGGCCCTGTGACCACTATGAAGCAGATTTTCTTTAAGGACCACTCTGAATCCGTCTCTTTCCAAAACTTCTATAATTCTGACGGTCTCCAGGCTCTTCTGCAGAGAGCACATCCCTTGTATGATGCTACAGCCATGTTGCTTCACTGTAAGAACGGTACTATCTAGGAAATGAGCTTCAACTGGTTTCCAAATGTCTTTTTCTTAGAAACAGCTCATGTGTAGCCTCTACAAAGGCCTGATTGGTGAAGTGTAGGGATGTATAAAGATTAATCTCATCATGGATGAATATGTTGATTATTTTCTCAAATCACTTCTTTATATGAACTAGAGAAAAAACAGCACAGTTTTCCAGAGTTAAAGTTGGTTGAGCAAATTGCTTGTTTTCCTCAACCAACAGTCCAAAGACTGCACAACGATATCCAGTTTTCTATCATAGAGGACTAATAAAACCAGCAAAGATTCACATTCGAGTGGCTGGGAAGAGAGACTGTTTGGCATTTTTGCTTAACAAATGACAAGAATGAATCTGTCGAGTGCTGCAGAGATCTCTGCAGAGGAACCCTGAAGTTATGTAGACATGCCATAGTGAAAGCAACCAATCAGAGCCAAGAAAGACAGTTGACTATTGAGTCCCAGGGAGTCAAATACAGACACTTTGGGACTCTGGGAATTGGCTCATGACTCAATGATCAACTATCTTCAAGCCTCCAACCCAAAGCTTTCTGTCTTTCTCAGCTCTGATTGGTTGTTTTTGTTCAGGCCAAGTGGATTCTTGCAAATACCATTAGGTATTAGTGCTAGAATGAACCAGAGGAACCTGATTGTTTCACAGATTATCTGTCTCATGTACTACTGTCAGGATACAGTGAAAGTTTCAGTGAATATGACAAAAAGTTACAACAGACGCACACTAGACCACGGACCCCCAATTTGAGTGGATTTTGTCTTAAGGAATCCTCTAAGAGTATTTATTATTTCTTTATTTTTAGGTTTGAAGATTAAGTCTTTATAGTTAATCAATGATCAAACTAGGACCACTATAAATTATTTAATTAAAAACAGCCATCCCTATTTCTGCCCTTGTTGTTCAAACTTAAAGTTAAAAGTTAAATTTAAAAAAAGTTCAAATATTCTTCCTATTCCTTCTTTTTCATGGGACCTCCTACAACCCACTCAAGGACCCCTGTTGGTCCCCGGACCGCAGTTTGAAAACCACTGCCATAATTGACCCTTCCTAAGTCCCCTCCCTTTTGGAACCTCAACTTTCTCTTTTCCTGTACATATCCAAGTACAGGAAAGGAGGAAGCTGAGGAGGTTTTGACCAAGGCTTGCTCAACTGTTATTGGAGCAGAGAACAAAAAGGGGCGGGACTTGAAGAATAGTATCATTGGTAACAGCTGTGTTTATCCTACTATTTCATATTAAAATGGCTGCTGTGGATATATCATGAACCCTACAAAGAGTCTAGCCTCAGAACTTCTCCTATTTCACAGACAGAGCCCACTGTTTTCCTGGGACCTATCAATGAATTAGTAATGTTTTTATACCACTCCTGGGATAGAACTTCAGTACTTTTGTCTAGCTCATATTGTTTTTTTTGTTTGTTTTTTTTGCTGAGACTGAGTATTTTGTCCCCTTGCTATTTCTGGAGGTAGGAATATGAAGTGAAGAGGATTATCTGATATGAATCACCCATGGGTGGAGCCATAAATCCAGTTTGAGTCCAGGTCACTACAAAGGATGCTATGAAAGCCAATAGCTGACTTATTCTACATTACAAACAAGAGCCTTTTCTCCTAATAATATAATAGATAGAGATAGTGACAAGGAACTCAAGCTGGCTGACTTTTTTTTCTTAAAAGCACAGAGTAAAATTAGTATGAGAGGACAATTTAGAAAATGAGCGAATGTAACTGTGTATTATGGGTTTCTGTGCGGGCTAATGTGAGAAATAGAGGAGGACACCTAAGCTCGCTGATGCCTTTTATCACAACAACTGGACACTGTCTCCTCATTTCCTATATTTGAATGCCATTTAAATTCTGCCAAGAGCGACGTGTCAGCTTACAGTCACCCGGGCGTAAATGCAACAACGCTGAAACAGACAGAAATGTCCAGGTACAGCAGAAATATGTCAGAAGGTTGAACCACATCTTACCTGAGAGACATATCGGCAGAGAGGTGAGGAAACCCCGCAGAAACAGTCCGCCCTCTGCCCACTGTTGTTGGGTCACTTCACTCCGGTGTGGCGTCCACTCACACAAAGCCCTCACATACCGGGACAACGGCTGGATAAAAACCTAAAAAGGCCCAAAACAGGCGACCGTAATTCACAGCCTCTTTCCGTCAGTCTACGCCCGGTTCTGGTTATTTACTAACCGCTGACAATGATACAAAAGACGAAGGTGTTGACTGGTCGCTTTAGCTTGCAGCCGCCATGTTTAGCTGTCTAGCTGTCAAATTTTGTGCTACATTCAGGGCGCCTCGGAAAAAACAGTTTTTTGGGATCCATGGGCAGTAGTTGGACAGATGTTCGTCTCAGGACGCTCTCTATACGTGTCTGTTTCAACTCATGTATTGCACTTTTTATTGAACCTTTTCATTATATGTATATGTATTTATTTTATTTTTTATTCATTTATTTATTTGCTTTACTTATTTAACTAACACTTTTTTTGTACTGGGACAAAATACCTAAACATATCATTACAGTTAAAGCCCCCCTCCAGTCTTTAAGGTTCAGTTTATTTATCAAACTTAAGTGTTGCAATTATTCTCAGTTAAACATCTTGGACATGGTGCTGCACTGGGATCAGGTTCATCAAGTCAATACAACCAGTGCAACCTGCAGTCTGATGTAATTATCTGAAGAGCCTATGTGAGCTGTGGCGCCACCCCAAGGCAGAAACCTGTTAAAAGTGAAATGAAGAATCCTAGACCTTAAATGTATCATACAATAGTGAGGTAAGGTAAATACACGACTGACACCAAACCGTCCAGTCTCAAGTTCTACTGGTAGTTGGATCAGAGGACTGTGCAACCTGCAGATATTTGTAGTCAATAATTAACACTCAGTGTCAGCACTGTGAAAGTCCAACAGCAACAGACCTTTAAATCAGTGGGACTATAGTTTTGTTCAAATCACGTCCTCACACACTGACATTGCATGCATTGTTATCACTGCATGTTACGGTATAATCTACATAGTCACTTATACACAATAGACATTAGTCACTGCAGACATTTTGATATGTCATAGCAGGATAAGCAGCAGTGGAAACCAATGAAGTACTGTACTTAAGTACAATGCAGACTATGTATGCGTGTACTATGTATATATGTATTTTCTGCTGCTTTGTACTTCTACTCCACTACATTTCAGACAGAAATATTGTATATATCAGTGGTTCACAACCTTTTTCTGTAACAGACCTCTTTTCTATCAACTGACTGACATATATGAATATTTCATATCATATTGAAAATTGAGCTCAGTAACTGTAAGAAGTTTGTGTAAAACAAGTGATTTAGATGAATTTTGAGCAATTATTTCCTGTTTAGGGAACTTTTATACAATTCTCTCTGTATTATGTATTTTTGTATTATCTTTAACAATCATAGACTTACTAGGCTTCTTCTTTTGACAAATTCCGTGTTTTCCTGTCCCGGTACTTGGCCATTGTATTATTAGACTATTTACTTTTCTTTATATTTACTTTTCTCCACAGAAATGGACAAAATGCTGATATACAGGTATACTGTGTATACATTATTTCTTACAGCCCTTAAAATCAAGAAGGCCTTGAGGCTTTGGCGACCCCTAGTGGGGGTCCTGACCCCCAGGATGGGAACCACTGCTATATATTATATATCTGACTATTTCCTGGACTTTCATTCCTTTTTAACATTTTAGTGGATTTATTGTTGCAGGTTTTAGGTCTTGCCAACCTCACTGGTCATTAGTTTTTATACTTTTTTATTTATTTTAATATTTTATCATTTTATCACTGTAATTTATAAGCCGTGCAAAATTCTATTGATTGTTGCCTATTTTTGTTTGTATTTTTGTCTGTTTTAATTCTGCTCTGTGAAGCACTTTGCGCTGCATGTTTGTTTGTTTGTGTGAAAGCTGCTATATACGTAAAGTTGAGTTGAGTTGTGTTCAAGGGTAAGTTATGGAAACTTTTGTGATGGAATGTGGCAAAATTGTGCTGAGACAATTTAAATTAAACTCATTTTAAACTTTTTATTGTTTTTGAGACAGTTACACTCATAGAAAATTACTTGATTTAATTCACATTTGTGTTAAAGTTGTGGAAGGAAGACAGCTGATTGGTTTGTGGTATATGACATCACTGTACAAATACAAAGACAAGTCATATGACACTACAGACCAAAGTCCATCAAAGAGGCAACAGGAGGCCTTTCCCATCAATTTAATTTACTACATTCAGATAAGGAAGTGCACAGATCAAGGACAGTCTGCTACAGTCACCTGACCTCGCCCATACTTTAATGTCTAATCAGGATCTCTGAATATTTTACAGTACAATAACATCTTCCATACTCAGACGTAGTAAGTCCCTCTGTTATCCCTGACTGAACTCACAGACTGGATTTTTTCTCTCAGTCTGTCCTCCCAGTCTTTGCACCAGTTCAGGCTCCGCTCCAGGTTCTGGTAACGGCTGGCCAACTTGTCCAATGCCAGCACCGCCTCAGGAAGGTCAAAGGTCAGGCCAGCTCTCTGCACTGCTGCTTGAAACTTGGCTGGAGATGCTGTTGCAACGTAACACCTGCAATAAGAGTTTTAATGATTACTGAACGGGACAAGAGAGACAGCAGTCAGATGATCAGACAGGTTCTCATGACACCAAAAGAAGGTACAGGAAAATACCCAAAAGACCCAAGTTGTAGTTTAAAGCCCCCCTCCAGTCAGAAATCAGAGTTTCTCCCTGTCCCTACAGTGTGCTGTTTGAATGCTGTCTGTGCAGAGTGTGACAGTAGAAGGATATTTTCACATTCATCTGCTGAAAGTGGAAAGTTTCTCTGTGCTCACTGAAAGCAGCCAGCCACCACAGGGGATCCAGATGTTACGGTATCACTTTTAGGGAGTTGTCATGTTGCAGCACGCACACTCTACAGCTGCACCCTGGATACTTTTATTCCCGTCAATAATGCAGTATTATGTTACTACTAATAAAAAACAAACACTTCCTACTGCTGCAGCTTCACATTAAAAGCATTTAACTGTAGAAACATGAGTTTACTTTTATTTTGAAGTAAGGACTTATTTATTTTTTTATTATGTTTATTTAAATGTGATAGCTAACTAGCTAACTAACCATTGATGTAAATTAGTTAGCTAACTACCATTTTGCTAACATTAGCTAACTAACTTCAAAGTCAAAGTCAAAGTCAGCTTTAATGTCAATTTCTTCACATGCACCAGACATAGAAAGGAATCCAGAGGACGTTTCTCACTCTCCCCCGGTGAAACAGATAAAGTGCACAGGCACAACAGATAAGACAAGACATTTCCTAATACTAAAAGTAAACATTCAATTTCACAACAGATAAGACATTTACTAATGCTAAAAAATAACAAATACAAGCGTACAACAATTTCTATGAGCCATCAAGTTCAACATTTTTGCTTGTATACAAGCTTTACAACCTAAATTTAGATTGGTAGTAGGTAAAGATCACCTACTGCAGCTTTTAAGTGACATTATCTGTTGTACTTCCTCCTTAAGGCTAGATGACCTGAGAAACCCAGCTGATTCATGTCTTGCTGTGTGGTCAGCAATGTTGTGTGTAGGGATAAATAGATGGATACAGTTGGTCTGACCTGCTGACCGTGGGGCTGTGAGGACAGTGGTAGTGATGCCATACAGCCACAGCTGTGTGTGGACATAGCACATACTGGTTTTCCTCCCAGCATCTCCTCATGGTTTCCAGGATCCCTTCATCACTCACCGTTCCAGTTGATAAAACCTGTGACAACTAAAGGTAAAACAGAGGGAAAGATCATAAAAGTATTACGGTGATAGATGTGGTCTTGCTAGATGTTTAGAGGATAAGCATGTGTGGATGTATATAGTACATGTTGAATGATTGGTACCAGTTTGCGGTGGCTTTCAGGGAGAGAGTGTCTACGTGATCGTTGAAACTCCTCCATCATGTTCTTCACTGAGGCTCCGTCTCTGCCCAGCAGCAGCCAGAACACTCGCTCCATGTTGTACGGGTCCTACAGAGTGACACAGCATCCTGGATGAGCATCTAAATCCAATATTTAATTTGTTATGGCTTTATATGAATCAGTAACTTTATGTGGAAGGATGGTTTGGTCATTCTGTCCCATAGTCAAGAACAAGATATCTTAACAACCACCGATATGTCCACCTAGTATGGGGAATAACTGTCCGCAGAGGATAAATCCTAAAGGTTTTGAGTGACCCCTGCCTCTCCTCTAGTGCCAGTGGACAAAAATTGGCACTCAACAAATATGAAAATGTTATATGCTGACAGCAGCTTGTTACTGATCAGATTCAGGAATAGTTTTGTGAACAGATGGTGTTTTTGCGCAGATACATGTGTTTAAACACGTGCATAATCCACACTGCATCACTTTTTGTGTATGGAATAAACAGATCCCTTTTACATCTGAAGAGCAACCTCCAATGTCTGTCAGAATGCAGCAATTATTTGTATGTTTGTTCCATTGTTGCATAACGGATGCTGAACTTCTAGGTTTTGTAAGCTGGACTTTAGAATTAACTAACTTGCAGATGGCAACCAAATGAAATAAAATTGTTTTTAATGAAAGGCTACAGAGGTAATACCAACCAATTATATCAGGATTTAAGCAAAGAGTCTCCTCTACATGGTGGACACCTTAAAGTCTGACAACACGTGATGTAACAGTCGAAACTACTCTTTTTAGATCATCTCGAAAAATGTACAGATGTATGCTGAATACAGGCTGTGTAAAGGTGTTACCTGGATGTCTATGGCAGGGGCCAAAGTCTGTGTGACATCAGCTGCCATGGAGAAGTCGCCAGTGGTTACCGTCCTGTGCACTATGTCATTAGAATTCACCATGGCAACCAGCTTCAGGGGCAGCCCCATCTGCTTTACAATGTAGCCGGCTGATACAGACAGACAAACAGACATGGCAAAAAGAAAACACAGTAAGCTTGAGTAATCACAGAATGGATTTCTGGGAGAGTAATCATCTAATCCAGTTCCCTACCAGCAGTGATTGACTCACCTGCGATGTTCCCCCCCCCTCCAGTGGGCACCACCACCTCCAGCTCAGGCAGGTCTCCACCAGCCTGCTCTGTACCACTGAGCTCTAGGTAGGCGTAGATGAAGTGGGCGAGCTGGATCATGACTCTAGACCAGTTGACCGAGTTGAGACTCATAAGGCCGTGAGACTTGACCAGCACCTGGTCAGCAAAGAGACGGCGCAGGGGCTGGTCTATGTCATCTGAGCTGCCGTCCGCTGCGACAGTAAAAACACACTCCATTGTTTTAAAATTGTGTCCTTCTGGTGAAAGAGCAGCCATTGGACTACAGCTGCTTTCGGTTTACCTGCAAACACGTGGATGTTGTCCTCCAGGCAGGTGATCATGTGTTTCTCTTGAACTGGAGTGATGCGTCCGCGGGGGTAAACCACCAGCACATCCAACCCACTGAGACCTTTTGCACTCTGGATGGCTGATCCACCTGTGTCTCCTGATGTACCTGGAGAGTGGACAGACTTCAGACTCACTACATGGATCATCTCTTATATTCTGTTTAGCCTCGGTGCTTCTTGTTTCCTCTTGGAAGCATAACAGGTGCTAGTAAAAGATGTTTTGTTTCAGTTTACATATTTTCTCTTTTCTTTTTATTCTACGATGTGTGACTGTTTGCATTTCTGTTAATGGGTCTAATACAGAAATGACAGAATGACATACACAACAGATACTCATGAAACTCATTAATAACATTTCTGCTTAATTTGACAATTAATTTGTGCTTAAAGGTTATATACAAAATTCACTTACCACTAGATGTCGCATTAGAGCACCAACATCTCAGACCAAAACAATGAACCAACCAGACTACATTGACAAAACCAGTCATTTTACCTCACAGATAATTGTAAAACACACTTGCACTGTAACTGGAAAAGAAACAAAATAAATCGCACCAAAACCGTCTTTGTTAGTCTTTCCTAAAACCACCAACTATGGTTAAAATAAACCCTTAGTTCACCGATTTAAGAGAAAATATCCCTGAAACAGGCTGCTGTGGCCGCCATGTAAGTTAGTTAATCCTTGGGGACAAACACTCCATCCAAGTACACCCATTAAACGTTGTTTTTTTCCACTGACAAGCTCAGATTGTTCTTTTAACATTATGGAACAGAGATAGACCTTTTGTTCAACCAGAAACTGCTGTAATATCACTATCGTTCTCCACAAGACAAAAATGCAAATTTTACCAAGAGTCCTTGTTCATCTTTCCACTGTTCCAACAATCAGCAGCTCTGCTTTGGTTGAACATCAGAGAGGCTGTGATAGCAACACAGGCAGAGGGAGAGTGACACCATGACTCCACTATATCTTTACATAGAGAATAGTTGTTAGCTGTTATATTCATGTTTTAAATCTGTCATATATACACACACAAATACTCCATCCAGCTGAAATACTCACTAGAGCACCAAATGTGGATTAATCCGCAGCTGAAAATAGTCCCCAACTAATGGTTCAGATTGTTATTTCGAAGTGTCTGACAGCATTATGGGAAGCACGATTTAGGGCGTACAGTCAAACAGTCAAGAGTCACCACCAATGCTGCAGGCGTGTGACCAAACAATCAGACGGAATATTCAAAACAAAAAAACAGCAACAATTTTGGCCAAAATACAGAATGAAAACAATTAATAAATATTGACAAATCATTATTTATCATTATTATTCTTTTCTCACTCATTATTTTTTCTCTTTCTCATTCCCAAACATTTTCATTTTGTTCTTTATCATTATTATTATTATTATTATTATTACTGCTCTTCTTATTATTATTATATTGATAATGCTAATAATTATTATTATGATTGTTATTATTACTATCATATAAGAATATATTTATTATTTTTATCCCAAACTAACAATACAAAACAAATGTGTCATAACATTATTATGACTTTGCTCATATATACTGTTATTTATATAATATATTTGATATAAAAAATCATGAAAATGGGTTCAGAATTAAGCGAGCTGCAGTAGGTTTTGTAGTGCAGTCTGAATCTCTCAGTATTGATCACTAGCGGATCCTGACCTCACCAATATGGCGACCGCGCAGACAAACAGCAGCAGCCAATGAGGTATCTGTGTTTCTGTATCTATGAGTTTTATGCCATGGCGTTACAGGTGTTGGTTCTTACCCACAACAACAGTAGCTCTGTGGTTCTCTTTCTGCAGGAAGTAGTTGAGGAAGCGCACGGTGCAGGTCATAGCCAGGTCCTTAAAGGCCAAGGTGCCTCCGTGGAAGAGCTCCAGGACTGACAGACCCTCCTTCAGCCGGGCAATTCTAACCACCTCAGGCACAGAGAAACCGGACAGGGCTTCACCCACCAGGACTGGGACCAGGTGAAAGGATGCAAGAGGAGAAATTGTGTTTTTGATGTCTGCATCTCTGTCCCACTCTCTTTAAGAAATCAAGAGCACTTGCTCCCAAATGGTCATATCATTTACCGGTAGACCTAGTGTTTACTTTAACTTTTTTTTTCTCTAAATGTAACATACAGTTAAAATGATATAGAACTGATCATCAGAGAAGTTCATCTGCTCACCTATCAGCCTGTTAAAAGATGAAGAAATGTTTGTTACAATTGTTACGTCGCTGTGCATGTATTTAACAACCACAATAACACATTTCAGCATGAACTGGTTGTAGATTACGTGGGAGCCAGAATGAAAAGGGAGTATAGTTTCTCATCTAGTAAACAGCAGCTCATCATACCAACAGTTGAGTGTCACACAATACACACCCAGGTTTACAAAGGTGATCTGAGTGAGGAGCTGAAATACAATAAAAACATTGTAGGACAACATTAATTATTTCCATGACAGGAAAACTAGTCTCTCTAAATTTCCAGGTTTTCCAGGACGGTGGGAAGCCTGACTGTTGTAGAATAGGTCTTTATTGTTTTGTTGTTTAAAAAGTCTTCTTTTTGACACGTTTCTCTGCCTCATGTCTTCAGTTAGTTAACTTTAAATCTTAAAGGACAATACTTGTGTTTTTTGTAACTTTTGCTGTGCCTCTACTGTGTAACCATGTGTACTTGACATTTTTACAGACCAGTTTTAAATGATTGTTATACACTTTACATTACTTCATCATCTCTTTTTCCATAGCCTTTATCTACACTTTAACTTGTCAGGGCTGTATCTAATGCTGTCAGCCAGACTGGCCCATAGTGAGTGAACATGTAGGGATTAAGCATCCTTCTCAAGGACATTGACTTTTATGAAGTGGAAACTTTAATGTCAAATGACACTAGGGTTGCAACTAACTATTATTTTCATTATCGATTAATTTGTGGATGGATCGATTAGCTAATTGTTTCATAAAATGTCAGGAAATGGTGACCATTGTTTCCCACTGGTGATGTCCTCAAAAAAATTACTCAAAACCATTAATAGATTATCAGAATAGTTGACAACTAATCCATTAATGGACTGATGGTTGTGGCTGTTATGATAACGGTGAATATTCCACCAGCTCACCCTCCAGGTCCTCTCTGGGGATCAGCTGGGTGGGGATGAACAGTGAGGCGACCTCCACCACCAGTTTGGTGTAGGGCAGCCCCCTCCAGCCCCTCAAGGTGTCTGGGCTGAGCACGGGCACGCTCTCTGGCATGAACATCCCCCCATCTGGAGCGTAACCTGAAAACAGGACATCCCGGAAGTCCCATCCATGGACCCCACCCCGAGTGCTGCAGTACTGCATCGCTCTAACCTGCGAACGGAGACGAAAGTAAATATTCTGTGTTAGGGTAACAGTGCTCTATTTTCCCTCAGCTTGCATTTCCCATAATGCATTTTAAACAAACCTCAGGTTAAGCACATGCACGAAACTGTTAGACTGTATTTTAATAATCACTGTAATCCAAGACCTGACTATCTGAAATGAAGTCTTAAACTAACTTGCTGTGTATAAATCCTGGCACTGGTGCACTCTGTGTAAAGTAACATTTACTGTCTGTACATGTAAAAATGTGTGATTCATAAAGTTGCTAATGTTTATGAATGTAGAACTTGAGTTCTGTGGTATTGTAGGTAGATAGTGAATGAACAATCAACGGTTAGATGTCACTTCAGTGGAGCCCATGACTTAGCTATCATATCTGCTCCGTCAGCACAGACTGTACATTCTCTGTTATACTCCCACACTGAGCATGCACAGTACTTACCACTCTGTAGTAAAATGGATTAACACAGCTCTTCAGTTGCTTTCAAAGAAACTACTTCACACACTGGCTTGGCCCCAGTTTATGATGCTCTGCTCTCTGCACTGAGAGGGACAGACCTACTCTATAGATCACTGTCCCGAGGAAGATAAGTGTTGAACTTGAACTTTGGAACAACCTACCCGAGGAACTACTTACTTAATATATTAAACAGGATTACTTAAACTTGTGTGCCCAGGATGGACATATTCCTGATTTCTCATCCATAAGTGCTCTATTTTCTCAATCTACAGAAAATGCAAATATCACTTCAATGTGTTTTTCTTTATGGATAATCAAAAGATAGCTTTTTGTTCAGATTATTTAAATCATGTTAGAGCTTTAGTGAACATCTTGTTTTGAGCATTATGCATATGAATAACAGTGCTTTTAACTAATTGCTGCAAATAAATCCAGGTCTCTGTGCAACCACTGTCATTACAGGTCTTATAATTATCATACTGTAATAGATTACACAAATAGACTGTAGGCTGCTCAGTTCACCAGAGATAACCACAGTGGACCCTGGTTATACAGTGGTGGGAGAGTGATTCACATTCTTTTAGTAAAACTAGTTTGCAACAGTCGCACTTTTATTTCTGTGGGACACGAGCCTTCCGTTATAGCGCCATTACGTAACGTCAGCTAGCTAGCTGAGCCACCGCTGTAATATGCTGATTCACCGCTGTAATTTGCTGATTCACCGCTGTAATATGCTGATTCAGATAATGTAGAACTCACACACCTCCTTCTGTGAACCGTTAGTTCTCTGAAAAGGCTAAATGAGCTTGTGTTTGTGATGAGAGGACGTTAGAAAGCGGCCCGTGGTATCATTCATGTTTTTGTCGAGCTGTTTGGTTCCCACAGCTGCTACTTTACCTCGGATGATGCGTGGCAGGGGACGCTGCACTAACGCGTCTTCCCATTGGCTCAAGAGGCTGTGGGTGGGACTTGGGCTGCATTCGTCACAACCATTCACAGTATATACAACACAACAAATAATACATACACTGTTTGACGCACACGAGCTTTTGATGTGCACATTATATTAAATGAACAAACAAGAGAGGCCTTACAATACTACTACAACAACTACTGTATATTATTCCATACAGGGGTTTTTCAACTGCAACTAAAGGTTCTTTTAAGCTTTCACAAAAAACAGCCCTCAGAGTACCTTCAGTGTACCTTTTAGGGAACGTTCCCTGCAAAACTTACCCACGGACAACCTTCAGGTTCCCTAAAGGTTTACAAAAATAACCTTTAAAGAACGTTCCAACATTCAGGGAACTTAAAGGGGACGTTCCTTGAAGGGTACCATTTGCTGGGTTTACACTGTAAAAAGAACTTACATTGGCCGGTAATAATAGTGACCACCAAGGTGACCATGTGTGGAAACAACCAGTATGTAACTATTAGTAGTGGCAGTAGACTTTTCATGTGGCAGACAAAGCGGATACAGACCTGGTGCAACTAATAACACCAACTAAAGATGATTCCACTCCAGTAGCACCCCATTAAACCATGTCACTACATCAACATTCAGACACACAAAACCAGGGCCTAGTGAGCAATTATTAATGTGACTTACACCTGTGGTTCTCTTATAAAGGCATGCTAAAATGTCTGCTGTGAAAAAGGTGACATTAAAATCAGCTAACACATTCTGAGTGGTCACTGCCCTGAGCTTCCTGCTCAGGGCAATACGGTACACTAATAACATTAGGGTCTGTTCCATTTAGATGCCCAAGTAAACTCACTCTTGTGAGACAGTGTAAAAAAGTGTAAAAAAATAAACAACTTAATGTGTTTTTAGGGCATTTCCAGAAAGAGGATGTTATAGGAAAAAAATAGTCAAAATTTTCAAATTGTGCTCTCAAAAAACTGTTTTTACCTGTTGTATCCTGGAACAGTATGATTCATCGGGCAGGTTATATAGGAATTTATTTCTGGTCAGTAACAATTGGCTTAGTTACACCACTTCACAGAGACAGATGTTTGATTTATACCATCATTCATTTTAATGCACATCTGCAAACATGTAAAAACATATATACAAGTCTGAACACTGGAGACATTACAAAAATGTGCTTACAAAATTGGAACCATGCAAATAACTGACATAAGACATAAAGAGTATAGTGAACATCACCCCCCCAAACACACACACACACACACACACACACACACACACACACACACACACACACACACACACACACACACACACACACACACACACACACACACACACACAAAGCCATCAGGATAGAAATAAATACACATTAAAAAGAAGAGCATGTGGATGCTATCAATTAGTCCCTCAAAAAAACTATTCACCCCCACACATTTGCACGAGATAAAGGTCCTTTCAGGTGAAAAATGTCTTGTTTTGGGCTTAAGATGCTTGTTCTCCTGTTCTCTCTTACCAAACAGAATAATCTGGACATTTAGAAATGGTTGAATACAAATGTCGAGCCAGTACACTTGGAAAGGTTCATGTTTAGGACCGCTTTTTCTCAGGCAATGTCAAGTAAGAGAACTGCACAGAGCAGGGAAATGTCTTATTTGTAGAAGTAAGGGCTTTATTGTATTCAAATCTCAGACCCAGTGTCTGTAAGAGAGGATCTGTCTCACTGCAGTTTAAGGGGGCAGGGCAACACAAACCTAGGGGTCATTCAAGGCAGGTCAAGTTCAGAAAACAGAATCATTTTATGTACTTATGGAGTTGTTTGCATTGGTTTTAGGACTGGTTGAGTGTTTTATCCAAAATAAGCAACTATGTGAGCTCCAAATATCTCAGTGGTATTAACTCTGTTAACTTATTATTATAACAGAAAGTAAAAGATTTTTTACTCCTTTACTTGTTTCAAAAGGCAGCTATAATGAGTTCTTTTATTTTTTTTACTTCAAGGCTTCTTATGCCTTTATTTTGACAGGACAGGTGAAGATAGGAAAGGCAGGAGTGAGAGAGGGGGGACGACATGCAGCAAAGGTTGGAATTGAGCCTGGGCCACTGCGGTAAGGGCTCCTTACGTGGGGCAGGCGCTCTGAGCCCTGCCAATGTAGTTTATTTGTAGTCAGTACCAAAGCACCACTCAGTCTTAATCTGCCACTGAAAATAGTTCCCAACAAATACAACATTTTGTGTTTGTGTACAGTTTACTAAAAAAAAAAAAAAAAACTACAATGCCCAGCTGTGTTTGGAAATCACTAAGGCTTTCAAAAGAATAAATTATATATTTGCGAGAATTTTTCACTAGGGACCAATAAGCAGAGAGGATAAAGAAGTCAGAAACACATTGTTGGCTTTGGTCTTTTTTGGAATTTGGTGGCAGTAAGAAAAATAGACTTATTCTTTCATTTTCCATTATAATAAGAGCTTTCTTCGTGTTATTGGTTTATTAAGCTCAGGTTGTTTTGATGGTGTAATTTGGGTACAAAATCCAAAAGGGTGAGGAGCTGAATATTAACATGGCATGGTATATTATTTGCTGACCCTGCAGAGTCTCTTGGATGATTTACAAGGACGGGTGGATAAAATCTCATTTATCTTTTTACATAATAAAATAACACTAAAAACCTGTTACCCAGGTGTTGCTAAGAGATGACCCACTGACACAGATTGACTGGTTTTGGATTCAAAAGCAAATAGTGATGAGATTTATTTAACAGCTTAGAACAAATGACTCAAATACCATAAAGGAGAACGAATGATGGCTAATTTTGGCAACAGACCAATTCTGATCTGTTGTTTAACTTGACACGATTCAGAAGAATATCCTTTCCAGTTCTCAGTTCACAGATAAATGTGTCCTTGAGTAGCTTAACACATTTTTAAAAGGACTATCGTTTCATACAGTTACTAAAAGTAAACAGAGCTTCCACACACAACCCTCTGCAATATTAAAGACTACATTTCAATAGTGTGTTTTAACCACGATGGTCAAGTAAGATTTGATTTGATCTTCGGAAGCAGAAAAAAATTTGTTTTAATGCCCTGTCCGATTTCTAAGAAGGGTCTATAAAAACATTTTAAAAAATTATACATCAGAGAAATACTGCCGTTGCCATGGAAATGGTGTCTGTTACCATTCTGGGCAAGTATCTGAAGGGTCATATTTGACACAATGACACTGAAGGGTGAACTCCCAACGGATTGAGGCTGCTGATTGCAGCATGAATTAAGCATCACTTGCAACCGCTCTCTGCCCCGTCTCAAGGTCCGATTCACAAAAGATATATTAAAATTTCAGTTTCATCCTTCCCAAAATGAACGTGGAGAAGCGTTTCATCACTATCTGAGTGCCTTCATATGAGTATGCATTAAATAATTCAATGAGCCAAAGTCTCATCAACATATTCTGAGCTTTAAAACAGAGATGACTTCTTGTTTCCCCACTCATTAACAAGATTAACGTGTTACAAGCTATTGACTGGATATTACGGTAGGGGTACATTTACGTTTGCAGATACACATTTACATTCAAATGAATCGACCTGCTGCACAGATCATATGGTATGTGCACAACACAATATAAAATAATTAAAGATAGGAATCAACACTCTCTGTGAAGCTGTGCTGTAGTTTGCACTGAACATTAAAAAGGCTTAACCAAAGGTTAATCTACACCATTTAGCCTCGGCTAGCTTAGCTTTTAACTCCAACAAGGGCTTTATTTCCTTAAAAACCAATCAATTGCAGGCCTGCATCAAGTGTGAAATGGGATTTGAGTTTAAAACCACTGCAATATTATCACTCCACTCTTATACTCCACGCTATTGCTAGGCAGGCTAACAGATAAAAGGGAAAGAATAAAGAGTGGGAAGAGGTTTAATGCTAATCATCAAGTTATGAAGCTTTTAACACTTTACGTTAATGCTTTCTTTTCATTGATGTTCCATCAAATTCTGCTGGCCAACAGTAAGAGAAGCAAGAAGATAGTTGACCGTTACAACAGCTGAACCCAAAAGCAGTCCATTGTATTTTCTTTGACATATTTACATGAATTTTACTTCTGTACAAAGTCATGCTAGCTGTTTAACTGACATAATGCTAACTAGCTGTTAGCAGCTGATGTGATGCTAATCAGCTGTTTGTAGCCAGCATAATGCTAACTAATGAGTATTAATTATGCTCTGTCTGAGTCACGATATACAGTGTCAATTAATGGAAGTTGTGTTGACACAACACAAGGATCTGGGTGCTCTCTAGGTGTTGAACTTTTTAATAACGAACATCATAACGTACACTTACTAGAAATCAAAGTGTTTAGCCTCTGTTTGGTGTGTTTTATTTTGACAGCAGTAGACAGCAAACAAAATGAGCTAACTTGGGCTTTTTCCAATCCCAGTGAAATCAAATATTCATTACCTCCCCATTAATGTCATTTCTGTGGTAGCAACATCTTTGTCACACACACACACACACACACACACACACACACACACACACACACACACACACACACTTTCCTTCTCCACCAAATGGAAGAACCACTAGCTGCAGGCTGGCTATCCAATCTCTACATTTTGTTAGTGACCAAAATGTAAAACAGTGTTGAAAACTGTCAGTCATCGAATGTCTGTTCAGAATGGTAACCTTTCTTACCATGCATTATCTGAAATAACACACACCTCCTCAGTCACAATGAATGACTCACTGTGGTATAAAGTGCTGTATGGAACTGCTATAGAGATACATGTAGATCCAGGCTGAAGAAAAAGCTCAGCCAATAATGTTCAGTGTGAAAAGCAGCACAATGTCCTCTGATGGTTGTTGTCCTTCTTGCAGTATTTTGTCTGGTCAAAGTAATATGACTTTATAAAGGAAACAGGAGACATAATGCACATGGAATAAGGATTTTCAGAAGCTCACTAATACAATATTCAATAGGCAAGGCCCATCACTTCATATTTATTTTACCCAGACAGCAAATATACCCAGAAATACTGTCTCCTGTTTCACATCATTAAACAGATAAGGCATACATGTTTCTTACATTAAAAATGTTCAACTTCTAAAAAAACCCCATAAAGAATAAACATGCACTATTGCTCAACCCAATTAAAATGTTTGTTCAATCTGACTAAATATGTGGTCGCAGTGGGATTCTTGTTAAATTCTTAGCTCTACATTGCAAAACATTTCTGGTATGTTTTCATGACAAACTAAGATTGGTAGTGTAGGACTTATGTGGCTCCCTCTCCCTCAGATGTTCAGCGCAAACATAATTATCTGAGCACAACAAGTCTCCATGGGAGAGATGGCTGTGAGAGGAGCCTTTTCCCATAATGCATCGAGGAGCAAGTGGCATCTCCTCCTCACTTCCAGGAAGGAATAGTTTCAGCGTGTCCTCAAAGGTTTTCATGGCAGTCCCCACTGACCAAACATTGGACATCGAGTTAAAAAAAAAAAGCAGTACGCTGGAGTTTTCCCCTAACAAGTGTCCAGGCTCTTCATTCATCCAGTCCTCCCATGATACATGTTTGACATGAGAATGTTTTTCAAATGTTTAAACCCCCACCTACCACATGTGAGCAGGGAGGGCAGGAGGAAAAGAGGGAACAGGTTAGGAGTTATCCCGCAGCTCTTTGGCCTTGATCAGGATGGTGTGGACATCTGAGATCGGGTAATCCTGTAAGATATAGAAAAAAACTAAAATTACTGTGTTATTATTGGTAAGGACATTTAACGTACTACTTGTATGTCTAATAGGCATGGGACGATATGGAAATGTCATATTACATTTATCCTGTCCAAAGTACCTAACATTCTGTTAAGAACCTCATCTCTGTCGTTCATTAGTTTGGAGTCTACATTATTTACTAGAGCTGGGACAATATGCTTATCTCTGGATTCAATATGATCACGATATTAGGGTGCTAATTTATAGACCTATTGTGATTCAATTTCACAATTTACTGAAATATCTGTTTTCTTTTTAACATTAGACCATGGGAAAAAGTTTAATTATACACTTTTAAAGACTGTACATGGTGAGTCATATTTCCAAAAACAATGCACATCACAGTTTTATACAAGCAGCATCATTCCTCTACTGCACATAAAAGTGGCGAATAAAATACTTGAAGTCAAGTGCTATATTTAGCAACTATTCTAAAAGCTAGTGCCATTGAAATAATAAAGTCCAGGTGAAATGAAAAATGTAATTTCAAACCTTTAAGATTGCAGTTACATTGTACCTCTATTTAAAAATGAATGCCAAAACTCAATTTCTATCAAAATCTGATCGTTTTGTCTTTCTGTAAATGTGACGTGTGTTTAGGTCTCAATCTAGCAGAGTCAGCTAATGGGTCTGCTACATCTGCCTGACTGGGTGACGCAGAATGTATCTTTTTACTGGCTACGCCTGCAGCACACGTAGGGCGCAGAATTGTGTGATGGAAGCAGGTAGTAGGCATGCTGAGCACCAACTAAAAGCAAGCATTATCAAAATCATTTAATTTCAATGTGTTGCAGACTCGCAGCAGAGAGAGAGACACACAGACAGCTCATGTGCGAGAGAGAGAGAGAGAGAGAGAGAGAGAGAGAGAATGTGAATATGAATTGATTGTGTCCCCCACTCATAGAATTTACACACATCCAGTTGAACTTTTTTTTGTGGGGGAAACAAGGGGCAAGCCGAGCCTTCAGCCATGGTGATGAGCTTAGGACTTTGGAATGACTGGAAAGATGCAAGCTCCCCTTGTGGCAATTCAAAAATGAATCAGGTTATCAATTTAGGACTGTATGTTAGCAAGGTAGACAGCTTTCCCTCATGTGAGGATATACAGTATTATCCCAATAATGGAAACAATAAACTGATAATATCGTTTATATGTCTAAATATGAAGCTTTGGGGTTTTTCAGTGTTGCCCTGTGTATTATAAAAAGCCTTACCTGCAGTAATCTCATATTCACCGTGAAGTCTCCTGCCAGCAAGTTATCTCGGATGAGTCTGTGGACAGAAGAAGTCGACAGAGACAGTGAATCACACGAAGAGTCAGAGCTGTGGGAGATGAATGCTGTGGGAGAACAGGGAGCTCACATGAGCATGGCGCAGCAGACCAGGATGAGGAAGTGGAATCGGTCCTGGTCAGAAAACAGAGTGTCCCAGATGCGGATGACGTCTGGCAAGAGGAACTCCTGCGATAACAACAAGGTCAGCCAGCGGAATGTGAAGTACTGGGGTTTGATGTTTTGCTCTTCCTGTGTGGACAGAAGAAATGAGGGAAAACCACCCTTGAGGACATGTTTTAAGAAATATGTGATCTTCAGATTGTCTTTCTTTCTGCTATGACAGTCAGTAACAATTGAAATGGATCAAATGGGGTGTAGGTTCGATCCCCAGCTCCTCCCCACCGCATGTTGAAGTATCCTTGAACAAGGTACTGAACCCCGAAGTGCTCCCGATGCCGTGCATCAGTGTGTGAATGTGTATGAATGAGTTAGTTTCCGTTCGACGGACTTTGCCATCACTGAGTGAATGTGTGTGAAAGGGTGAATGTGGCACGTAGTGTAAAAGCGCTTTGAGTGGTCAGAAGACTAGAAAGACGCTATACAAGTACAGGTCCATTTACTATTACCATCATTATACAATATTAGTTTCATTTTTTCTTTCCATGTATCACTGCACAGAATCTACTCATGGACGAGAGCCTCGAGTCTTGCTAGGCTTGTGCAAGCTTTTTTCAGCTCGGCTGAGCTGTAACGTTAGCTAGCTAACCTAGCGCCACTGAGATAGCTAACACTGAGCTACGGTTGGAGGGTGTAGTTCAGTAGAGAGAAAAAAGTTCCTACGTGAAACTCAGCAACTCACACCAAAACTATGTAGATGATTAATAGCACTACAGGGAAGAGGACAAATATGTAGTTTGGATTTTGGGGTGGACTGTTCCTGAAGTTACACAGATTGAGCAGGGACCACTGGGCTCACCAGCTTGAGATAGAGCTCCAGGTCTTTGTCTTTGAGCATGGAGTACACACTCTCCATCTTGTAGGTGATGCCGCACTGAGAGTCGTCCAGGCTCTTGATGAAGTTGTCTCTGTTCTCCGACATCAGGTTGGTGAAACAGAAGAATGTGTCTGCTTCAGCATGCTCTGAACAATAAAACAGAAAATACATACATTTATTTATTCTTTTTACATGTGAAACATCTCAAATGTTCACCTTTTCAACCCAAATGTCTCTGACCTTTCCACTGGCTGTTGGGGTCCGTGGCGAAGGTGTAGTAAATTGGCCCAACAATCTCATTCATGCCCTGTACGTAGGCAATGCCAGGGTTGAGTTTGGCATAGATGAAGAGGATCCGCTCCACCACTTCCCAGTGTGCTTCGCTCCCACTGGGCAGCACCTCGTATTCGTTAGAGGGATACAGGTTCAGGGCCTTTCCAGGGGAGCTGACCTGGGAGAGCAGATTCATAGATAGAAGAGCACAAAGGGAACACAAAATCACTGGACCCATCACAGGACCTTCCCAGGACATTCTCCTGACAACACAGAACACTTGCTTAAAACACATAAACTGCGGTTTCTGGCAAACTGATCGCATTCATCTGGCCAGTGTTCATTGCACATAGAATTAACATCACTGTGAATGTATTTATCAACCACATCAACAAGACATTTGATCATTAACAGGCTGTATGCATGGAGATAAGAGAATCTTTGCTCGCAGGTGTAGAAGAAAATAGACTCAATGGTGAAAAGATCCTTTCAAGTCAGTTCCACACCTGCAGTTTATCCTACCAACATGTCGCGTTTCAAATAAAATACGCACCCAGGTTTGTGTAGGTGATCTGAGTGAGGAGCTAAAATACAAAATTAGCTACGACAACAGGGGACACTTCCAGAATATTTGGTCATTTAAATCAATTTTCATGACTGGAAAACAAGTCTCTAAATTTCCAGGTTTTTCCAAAAAAATAACCTCAAAACAAAAGTGAAGCCCAGTTTCCTGATAATGATCGATCTTTTTGTAAGAGACAATACATCCAGGACAAATTCACACTCTTCCTGCTTCCTCCAACAGTGTTGTTTCTGCTTCTCATCTGACCTGAACAGACCTGTTCGTACATTAACAGCAACATTCCACTGATTTACGTCTGCAATGCGATGGACAAGTTCCAACTGAATATGGAGTAAGAGTTAACTTTGTGCTAACAGGGCTCCAGACTAACTTTTTGCATTGGTTGCACTGCTGCGCCTAACTTTTTTTTTTTTAGGTGCACCAGCACAAAATTTAGGTGCACCCAAATTTTCCATTGCGTTGCCTTTAACACCATAAGGTCACCTTTTTATCGCTCTCAATAACTTTCATATAATGTGAATGATTTTTAAACAAGAATAAGGTGTAGAGAAATGCTTGTCTTTATTTGAAGCACAATTATATATAAAAAGAAAAATAAAGTGTTTAAAGTGCTTCACTGAGCTGAAATTGAACATTTCAAACTCAAACATTTCAAGTAAAATAATTATTAATGATAACAATAATGATTACTACTACCTGCCGCTGAAATGCAGCTGGGAGAGGAGCCACTTTATCTACACACACTTGTCACGGCATATCGTGTGTTTTTTAGACGTTATGTTTTTTTAAAGTTTCGATACGAAACGTTGTTGACCCGCTCACAAATGCACTATTTCCGGCCATATTCTGACCGCACTCCTGACAGTACACGCAGTGCATTGCATTATGTCCTTTGTTGTACATCAGCCAGGGAAATTGTTTCAGCCAGTCCTGTCTGAAGGAATGTATTTTGGCCGTTTTAATTTGGGTCTCAGAGCCGGGCTCTATCCCAGACTCGGTTGTCTCCTCCTCTGGTTCCGAGTCTGATGCTGTCGCCGAAGGACCGGGGCTCGGCAATTTTTAAACACACACAATTTAGCGCGGTGAACAGGACCACAGCCAATCAGAGGCAAAGACCCGCCCGAGCTCTGTCTCTTATTGGTTTAGAACACGATATGATCCTACCATGAGTGTGTGAGTTTGGTCACAGGAGAACACAGAGAGATGATGCGCTTGCAAAATAAATTCACCCGGGCAGCGTCAGCTGCACCAGTGCGACCTAGAAATAATATTAGTCGCACTCTTAAAAAAATTGGTCGCACTCTGGAGCCCTGGCTAAGCTTTAGTCCTTCTGAGCATCTAATACTCCCCAAAACCACACACTGCACTGGCCACACACAGACACACATTAATGGTCACTTACATTGGTGACTCCGCTGCGGTTGCGGTTTACAGTTTGTGCTTTCAGGGTGGTTTGTTCGACCCGTCGACGCAGCGTCTCATAATCATTCTGAGGATCCAGGATGAGTTGGCAAGGGTATTCTGTAGGACGCTGGAAGAATGCCATGTCTGGGTAAAGCCGCCTGCAAACACGCAAACACACACTCCAGTCACATTTTACCAGAACTGCTTTACATACGTTTTTGTTATAAGTTAGGAGTTTTTCTTCGGCTATTCTGATCCCTTTGGTTGTAGTTTTTTTTAAATACTGTATACACAATGCAGTGTTTCCTCTATGTTGATTTTGGAGCGGCGGCCCACCGCTGTTAAATTTCTGCCGCCACGGTATCAGAAATGGGGCAGACGCACAATGTAGTCATGGTTGCCTTTTAAATGATCCTGCCGACATAATGCACCCCCGTTGGCTGCCGCTCACATTGCAATTTAACAAGTAGAACTATTCAGAGGTTATTGGGGCTGTCCACTTTAACTCCACATACTGTTGTGTTGATGTAGCTCATTGTCAAAACGTTCGCTTTCTTCCAAGTCGACTATTAAACTAACAGCTCCACCAACGGGGACAGGTCTGCCCCCACTGCTAAAAAAAATCCTAGAGGAAACACTGCAATGACAGGCCATGGTCCTTTTCACACTCATATACATCAAACTAACAGATGCAGAAAGGTCATACCTGACATCCTTGTCAATTTGTAGCAGAATCTCATTATCTTTGAAGTAGTTGTTCCACCTGCTGTCTGGGTTTGGGTTTAGAGGCTGGAAGAAATCAAATGAAACAAAAACACATTCAAATGCTTGCAGCAGTAATAGTGGCTTGTTACACCTGTGAGCAAAGAGCCAGTTGATCATTTATTTATAGTTCTATTAGTTTTTATAGTTTGAATTTTCATTTCGTGTGTCCTCTTTTACACTTTTCTTAAGGTGCTCACTGTATATACTGCGTATGTGTGGCTTCATAAAGGGAAACTTTATCATACATGAAAGGGATTGTGATTCTGGAGAGGTCTGTGTGTGCTAGTGATGCACATGAGTACTCACATTTTTCTATAGAGCAAAAGAGATGTGTAACTGCAACTGCAGATAAAGTTTAACGATTTCAGTCACACATCACTTGATCTGTGCACTCAAATAGCACTGTCTTCTGATGTTGGTCAATTTACAGACATGTGAAAGCCTTAGATAGTGATAGATATTCTCACAGAAACCGTTCCGCTGCACAGGCCAAGGTGGCTGCAGATGAAAAAGTAAAGCAGCCACAGCTTTTTTTACCAGATAAATTATAGAATTTTTGAAATGATTGCAACATCTTAATGTTTATGGATGTGTTTTTTCTTCATGTTGTCTCATCTCTACAGCTGGTGTAACACAACAAGGTAAAGAACCCTACCTGCATTTTCACTTGGATGTTCATTTCAGACCCTATTCTTAAATTAGATTTTTTCTTTGCAAATACTTGATGATAATTAAATGCAAGCCGAGTACTCAAATATGGAAATTACTTGTAATGCCCATCCCTTGTGTGTGCATGCATCTTCCAATGAAAGCCACGAAAACTGTAACTGTTATTGTAAATAGTAGAATTCTTTTTATGACTTTTGTTGAAGATTGCAGTGCACACTGTAGAAATTGTTTGTAATGTTTTGACAGTCAAACAATATTTTGAAAAATTTCAAAAAGACTGGAGGTTATAAAGTGATCTGTAAGGCAGTTACACACGCATCCACTTTTTACTGTTACACTGTTAGGAACACAGTTAGTGCACCAAAAGAGAACATTAAACAGTTAGCCCTGCCAAGTCATACAATGTATGTGCTGCACAGCTAAAGAGTCTCATGTTACACCCGTCTACGCTCTGTCTCTTTTCTAACAAGCCACTGGATACAGAATGAGCAGTCATTAGGATTGTCACTAGCATGGACCTCATTCAATCAAGCCTCATTTCAGTTCAACGCTGCTGTGGAAAAACAGAACTAAAGAGACTTGACTCACGTGGTCCTCCATGGTCACATCTTCTCTGGAAAGGCCCAGGTTGGCTTTGGCGATACCAGGCTGGATGATCATTTCTTTTAGGAACTGAGAGTACACCTCCCTGTGAGAGGCACGGGACAAAATGGAAGGATAAGCGAAAACATCAGACGGATTAAACGCAGATTGTCCTTCAAAAAGTCAACATGTTTCATATGCAGAATCATTTCACTTTTTCATATTTAGCTTGCTTTCCATTTTCCTGTTTGATTACTGTTTTATCCCAGGAAGACTAGTGACCATTTTGAGGAAGCTAATGGGGATCCAATGTCCGAATAAAAAACTTAAAATACACTGGATAAAAGTCATCTTTAACATTCATTAACAGTTGTGCCGACAGAAAACAAGACATATGAAGATGTCATCTGGAGTGTCTGAGGAATTACAACAGGCAGACATTTTATATACTGAACAAAGAACCAATAATCCAAAAAGTTATTTGCAGCCCTAATTAAAAACAAAACATATAGAGAATACATGCACTATTTACTAAAAGGTCCTGTCAGGGATTTTTCCGTGGTGAAAACAGAATTCCTCTGTTGAGTCTGATATAAATGAGGAAACAATAGTAGAGGTGGTTTGTTCCCAGCTAACCTCACCGTGACAGACCACTATAATAAAGAGCCTGAGGCTGGGTGAGTCACAGCTGAAATGATATGTTTCTTTCTTTTTATAAGTCAGCTAACAACGTTAGCTAATGTCATCAGCTATACTGATCCATAGCAGCTGACCTTGTGGTTTCAACGCAACCCCAAAAAAAGAATCACAGAATAAAAGTAAAAGTCTTCCAGCCCTTTGATCAGGTTCCAACATGTTCTCCTCACCTCTGCTTTTTCAGGAACGACTCCCATAATGTCTGATCGAGAGGTAGATAATTAAGAAGAATCTGAGAAGAGAGTTAAAAAAAACAAGCACGAGTCAGGAACACAGGTTACAAATAACAATATTTTAGAGGTCTAAGAAAATACCAGTACACTTGACTATTCCAGTATTCTGTTTTGTGATATTGTATTCATTATCATTAATCAATTTAGTAAGGTTTGTGTTTAAACCCCCAACAGCTAGACAGCAGTGTTAATGTAAACTGAAGGCTATGACACTGGATGTTACAAAAGAAATCTGCAATATATCAGCTTGCTTACAATATTGCAATATATTGCCATATACTGAATGGTAACTCCTGTATCGACATGTATTGTATCGCTGTGCCAATACACAGCCCTAGCCCATATAGTTAAATGTCCAACAAACCTCAACCTAATTTCTAATTTCTTTATTTTGCCAAAGAGATCTTTATTGTAGAGTAAAGATGCTAATTAGGGACCTCGCAAGTGACTGCCGCTGGAGGTCCCTATTGTTTTTGCTTCGTTTCTTCTTATTATTATTTTTAGCCCCTTTCGACTGCATTTCCCCCGAACATATACGAAAACTCAATTTTATTTGGCAAAGTTGTCAGGCCTGGTGAAAAATTTTATATTCTATGCGTCTCTTTCGTGTCGGCCACTAGATGGCGCTACTATTTAGGTAAGTATTTTAACTTTTTGGTTACTTAATAACTTTTGCATATTTTGTCGCACATTCAAAAAACTTATATCCACGCGTTCGGTGAATGAGCTGAATCTCTCCATATAGGCCCCGCCCACTTTCGCCATCATTTTTTTTCGTTAGAGCGCGAAATGTCCTTAAAGTACGTTTTCGTGGTCCTCCTACACGCTTTGTCCAATTCGCACAAAATTTTTCACCTAGCACCTGGGGACCGCCATGGCAAAAAAAGTAATTTGAACCTTTTTGAAATTTCAAAAAATAAGCGCGCTATAAAATTAAGACTTCCTGTAGATTTTTCGTCAAAAAAGGAAGAGGACCATTTCTCAACATTGGTATGTCCGATTGAGACCAAACTTGGGTCCATAGTTCCTCATGTCCTCCTTAGGCACCGTGCACAATTTCAGACTTTTAAAATGAAGAAGATTATATCTCTGCAACGGCACGTGTGATTAAAACGAAACTTGGTAGGATGCTTGCCCATGGCTCCCTGAGGCTCACCTAAAAAGGAAAAACAATCAGGCCACAGGGTGGCGCTCTGGTGGCAGGATAAATCACTGTGCAGAGACCGTAATAGTTATGAATATGAAATTCACAGGGCACGTGTAGAGTGGGGCCTGAAGCTCACATACCAAAAATCGTGTTTGTAGCGCCCCCTACAGGATAAAAAAAGGCAGCCCCGGCGCGACGTTTCACCGATATGTACGAAACTAGGTAGGCACGTTTAACATGCCGGGACGTACAAAAAAGCCTCTTGGACCCATATCCCACAGGAAGTCGGCCATTTTGATTTAAAGTTTCACTTTCGGCGGAAAAAAAACTTTCGCGTTTTATTTGAACGAACTCCTCCTAGGGAATTTATCGGATCTGCTTCAAAATTTGTGAGTACAGTCAAAAAATGGTTCTGATTGAAAGTTGTGCTATTTGTGCATGTACGTTGAAGGGCGTGTCCGTGGCGTGCCCTCAAAGTTGGCCATAGTGAATTCCGTGCGCATTTTTGGTGAATTTTTCGCGTTGTATTTGAACGAACTCCTCCTAGGGAATTTATCGGATCTGCTTCAAAATTGGTCAGTACAGTCAAAAAATGGTGCTGATTAAAAGTTGTGCTATTTGTGCATGTACGTTAAAGGGCGTGTCCGTGGCGTGCCTTCAAAGTTGGCCAGGTTGAATCAAATGTCAAACTGTGATGCCATTTCCGGCATTTTGCAATGATTTTCAGCATTTTTTTGAGTTGTATTTGAACGAACTCCTCCTAGAGAATTTATCAGATCTGCTTCAAAATTAGTCAGTACAGTCAAAAAATGGTGCTGATTAAAAGTTGTGCTATTTGTGACTGTACGTTAAAGGGCGTGTCCGTGGCTTTCCCTCAAAGTTGGCCAGGTTGAATCGAATGTCAATCGGCTCCACACTTCAAATGCTTGATAACAGTCCCGCCCTGAACTTGTCTACATGACAATATTCAGACATAGTGATAGCGCCACCTACTGGCAATAGGAAGTAAGCGCTGCGTGGCGATTTGGAGCTGAGTTACTTGAAATGACTGCGCCGGTGACGACTTGTCGAATTCAGCCGATTGGCCATAAAACAGAACTCATAACTTCAGTGTGCAATGTCCAATCTCCAATAAACTTCATATATTCTGTAACAGTCTCGCCCTGAACACGTCCTCATAACTTAGCTGATTTACGTGAAATTACATGTTTTGGTCCGCACGTGTAACGATGGCACATGGCGTGGCCGCAGCATGCCCCGAGTTGCGTGGAGTGCGAGGTCCCGCTCAACGCTGCTTGCAGCTTTAATTACAGTTATTTTAGGCCCACCACCAGCAAGGCCATCATTACCATTTTATGCAATCTGGTGTTTCAACCCACTAAACTTTATTTTAACCTCTGGTCGATATTTAAGACTGAATGTGTATAACATTATGGACAAACACATTTTGAATGTTTCCATTGCATGTCATGGTGCAGCCAGAAGAGCCTGGCTTTGAAGTTTTCCTTCAAATATGATAGAAACCTCAATGTGGCGTTGGAAAACTAGACGGCATAAGTATGTGGTTTCAAAAATGTTATTGTAACTATAAAACTCCTTAAGGGAAATCTTCAGAGTAATTGTGTAAAAAAAAGTGTAGTGCAGTGTAGTGTACGTTGTATGTTCCGGTAAGGAGTCAGTCAAGGCTGTGCACACTTAGACTGAAAAAGTGCTAAATATACTAAAAGAATGAGATTCTGTGTGATCCCTTATCTTTATATCTGAGCTCATTAAAGTTGCAGGAACCAATCATACCAACAGATTGGGACTTTTCACATTCACCAATTTTATCCTCTTTTAGAATTCTGCATAGTCGCATATAAAGAAAAACAATACGCCTTGTCACCGAGACCAAAGTATTGGATTGTTGCAACACGGACCAATCCTCTTGTAACACAGAGAGTCTCCTACCGGTGCACTGTTGCATATGCTCACTGTACGTATGTACAGTAATGTGTCTAAACTGTTTTCTAAAACAACACAGAGGCAGGATAACTCACAGAGGCAGGGTAACTCACAGAGGCAGGGTAACTCACAGAGGAAGGGTAACTCACAGAGGAAGGGTAACTCACCTTCCAGCAAAGTGCTCGTATGCCTCCTTCAAATGGGATTCCTGAAGCAAATAGAGAAAAGCATGGTCAACAACAGAACCATGAAATATCAACACTGATGCTGTCGGCACAAAAGTACATTACGGTGTGAAAATTACCATTGAAGCAAAGTTCCCTCAGTGTCTTCAAGTTTATGTTCTCTTCACTTAAGGTCACTTTGAATTCCTGTATCCTGAAATAAGACACAAGACGAAGTTAGAACCAATGTTATTTCTGAATAACTGCTCAGTGGCAAAATACTTCTAATACGAACACCATGTTAACTCATTACTGTTAACACTCACAGTCCACACAACAAGATGCTTTCTCTGACATGACATCCTGAAACTTTAGTTATAGATGAAAGGAGTAGTAGTTGGACATTTTGTTTTCTTGTCGAGGGCCAGATGAGAGGATTGATTCATCTCTCCTGTCTGTGCCTTAAGCATGAAGCAGGAGCCAGGAGGCGAGTAGCTTAGTCTGACACAGAGACTGGAAGCAGGGTGAAAGGCTAATCAACACACTGGATCTGGTTTGTTAAAACAGCAACTAAACCATTCAGTGTGTTTCCCAAAATGTCAAACTATTTCTTTAAGTATGGTTGGTAGAGATAGGAATTCCGGCTCTTTTTAATGATCCAGATCATTTGGCTCGGCTCAGCAGTGAGAGTCGACTCTTCCTTTAGTACCGCTACTGGCTTACACAATTCAGCCGAATTTAGCTACATTTACACTTCTGATGGCTATGTGTACAAATATATCACTTAAATGATTAAATGTAAACCTTATAATTTTCAGATTACCATAAATGTTCATTGTGCTTGGTATAAATAAGTATATTCATAAATAATGTGAAACCATCAATCACTGTTACACATGCCTACTGAACCTTTTAAAAGTCTCACCATGCTTGGATCTTCATGCTATTACCAAAGTGAGACATTTCTTGATTGTATTTAACAAATATGCAAGACTGCTGCTGGACAATTGTGACGTTATCTGACTACACAATTCACAGTTTAGACTACGGTATTATCATTACAATATGTATTTAAAAACCTACACAGGTTGTAGTTTTCCACATTACATTTAGACTTTAACAATATAGATGCATTAGAATGGATTTATATATTAAATATTGTTTCTAGAGCAGTGACAGTAGTTGTTTAGAACAGTAAAGTTTACAACCAAATGCACAAATTCAACCATTATTAATGGGATAGAATAAACATGGACTGCATTTTTTCCCTGTTAGACAGCACTGCAACTATGAGACATGGACTCTACTCAGTCCAGCAGCAGTGAATGAGTTGTTTGTGCTAGTTAAATGCTCTGGGTAGCATTAGACAGACGGTGTTTGCTGCTTTGTAACTGCCTCTGTAAAATGCAAACCAAAACCACAACAGCACAAATTACAACCATAAAAGCTCACTCCATTCACTGACACTGATCGTTCTGGGATTATTTGCATATAAGCACTTGTACAGCCAATATTTTGCCCACAGTGGTCACAAAATTAGAAGCCCTATTAGTGTTTTGCAATATAATCTTTATAACATTATTATATATTAAAACATATTTTACCATTCAAATCAGTCTTTTTTCTTTCCTATTTTACCATTTGGAGATTTAGGGACCTGCAGTAGGTGCACGTTCAATTTCCTATTAAAAAAGAAATCAATAAGATGCAGAGGCATTCGAAAAAAATAAATACTCATTGAGAGGGGGTTTTTATTGCAAAATGTTCTTGCTATAATGCATAATTAAGTTTGTTCATTCATTTCTGTGTTCATGTAACCCTTGTGGTTGATGTGTAGAAATTAGCTATTAGTATTGTTTGTAATGTTTTGTTTCTATGTATAAAATGAGTGTGCTCTCGATCATCAGGTCACCACTGAATCAGAGATTTTATACCTGGTTAAATAAAAATGATACTAATCTTGTCTCCATACATTTTCTTATTGTCTAAATTTGATAAAGCTGATTACAACTGATTATGATTGGGAACTCATTTCAATACTTATTTTTTCCTATTTCCATCTGTATGTTAAACTCTGAACCCCCCAATAAAAATAGTTTATTTTAAAAATTACACATTTATTGTGAGTCATGGTGGATACTTGAGGAAAGAAACACTTTAGACATAAGATGTGAAGAAGATATACAGCCAACCAGTATTAGTCGCGCTTACATTTATTTGTCGGTTGACATTTGCACGGTGGGTTCAAATCACTAATTACAGTAGAGAAAGTGTGATTACCCGGGAAATGATAAACACCGAGCCCGGTGCGTTTTCCCAGTTTGGCTAATTTAACGCCAGGGCGACCGTTAAACTGGAAATAAATCTCATTTGTTTCCCCCTTGCACTGACAGAAACACAGTGTCAGCAAACACTGCTAACGGGATGATGGCTAATTGTTAGCCAGTTAGGGAAGTGTGATGTGTCAGCTGATGTGCTAACAGGGAGCTAGCCTAGCTAACGTTCCTTAAAACGATGAAGTTGTTGTATTCATTCATTAACTTGTAAAATGCTTGACGTTCATGACATTAAACGGGCTGTTTTAAACCTGGAAAAATGTACATTAGCATGTACTGACTGTTTATTTTGCCTTAAAGCTAAACTTAGCTTATGTTTGGTTAGCTGAGCTGCTGTTGCTGCTAGCTTAAAGCTGAAGTTAATAGCAGTTTGCGGCTAGGATGCTAGCTGCTACAGATGATGTAGCGGCGTTGTGTCGCTGCTCGGGAGTCTGAATGTCGTGGAAGAACGCAGTTTTCGGTGTGTCTCACCTGTTTCTGTACGCAGTAGACATGTCTGGGCAGGCGGCGCTGTATTCCTTTAACTGTTTCCAAAAAGGAAAGAATTATTGGCCAGAGGGAAGTCCTCCTACCACTTCCGTCTTCACAACAACACCGTGGGCACACAGCACGCCGCTATGGACATCCACAAACAACTCAACGAGTGGGTTCAGATGAGGGGATCGTTCCCTTAGCGAAACACCTTGTTCCGAATGGGTTCCAGGTCCGGTCACGTTGGTTTCATATCAAGTCTGTCTCGTTTCAAGGATTAAACATACATTGATAGTAACATATTAAACATATAACTAATAAATGTGCACTTACAGAGGTCTTCCAAACAATTGGATATTATTCTGTTAATTATAGGTGTGTTATTGTCAATAACAAAAACAAATTGAATAGTTTGTCAGTGCAGCCACACTGCCGAGCAGTACTACTGTTTATAGTGGATTACTGTCAGTGGATCCTGCAGTGTGTAGAAAGTGACATACCTTCTGACATCCACTAGAGGGCAGAAAAGCTCAAAGTATTTGAATGAGTAGCTTGTGGAAGTAAGTGCCAACTGCATGGGAGCTGGGGGAAGCTTGGCCCCTCTTAATAAGATATGAGCTCCCCTGAAAACATGATTTGTTATCATTGTTTGGTTTTTTTTTAGGGGGGTCTGTTAAATATTTAGAATACACAATTTTTGTCATGCATTTTTATCTTTCTGTATCATCATCATTATGGATCATGTGTAAATTTGGGCTATTGTTGATGTATGATGATGAAGTATAGTGGCGCAGTATAATAAGATTAAAGATTCAAGAGGTTTATTGTCATATGCACAGTAAGAAACACAGTGGTTTATATGTACAATGAAAATCTTACTTTGCCCGACTCCCTTTACACAACACACAAATAGAATAACAGAATAAAGTTTAAAAAATTAAATATAAAAATTAAAACATAAAAAATTTAATTTAAAATGTAATAAAATACATTTCACTCATTGTAACTCAAAGATCAGAAAAACGCTCTCTTAGTCCCACTCAATAGCACAATGAATCGTCATTATCAATTTCTGTTTTGTAGTCATCATCTGGTGAGTCAAGCATCCACCCCGTAAGAAAAAGTGAGCTCCCCCGAAAGCCACTGTGTAGTTTGTACACTGTGTATTACTAATTATATGGAATACAGATTGGATGAAGGACTATATGAGTGAGTTACTGTGCATGAGTGATCTGCTTTGCATCTGAGGTTGTGCATATTTAGCAAATTTCTAATTCTGCCACAACTCTAATTTTTGTACTGTACACATAATGACATTAGAAACAATTAGTTGATTAAAGCTGCAGTAGGTAATTTTGATAAAAATAACTTTTTGCCATATTGTCTGAAACTTTCACTATATCCTGACAGTAGTACATGAGACAGATAATCTGTGAAAAAATCAGGTTCCTCTGATGGCTCTAGTGCTCCTAATGGTATTAGCAACAACCAATCAGAGCCGAGAAATATGGAAAGATTCTTTGTCCTGGTGGCTTGAAAATAGCTGATTGTTGAGTCTCATTCCCAGCATCGATGGCAAGATGGGAATGAGACTCAACAATCAACTATCTTTCTTGTCTCAACTACCCCTCTGGCTCAGCCCCTGAACAGAGAGAACGCTAATCATCATATACACACACAGGTCACAAATACAGCACATGTAAATTGAGCACAATTTTAGGGTTATGGTACAGGAATCCTGGGTTTTAATGAATATTTGACTTCATATAAGCATCATATAGCTTCAGTGAGGTGTTAGAATAGGATACACTAAGATTAAAAAGCCATTATTTGTCCCTAGGGAAATTAGTCTAGGACATAAAGGCTGCCAAATGAAAATACATAATGTAGTAACAGACGTGCATAGCACAGACAGTTGGCTCAGTAATTTAACAGATGCTCAATTTTGTTTCTTTCTCTTGAGTCTCACACACACAAACACACATACACACACACATCAGCACAAAAGCAAGTCAGTTGAATGACAAGATTAACCTGCTCTACGAGCTGCTGGCTTCCTTCTAACCTTCCTTTCCTCCCTCTGTCTGTACAGTACATTGACACAGGGACTCTCTTCAAGACAAACAAACAATTTAGATATTAAAATATAAAATATATTCTAAAGTTGGTTAAACAGAAATATTCCAAACGACTAACTTTTTTATGCATTGTATTCTTAGTAATAATTACACAGGACTTGGTTAAAATTTAATGAACTACAGCTGGAACTGGATCGAGCCGTTAATCATTTTCTTGATTAATAAATTAGATGTTTGGTATGTGTGGTGTCCCAAAGCCCAAGATGACGTCCTCAAATGTCTTGTTTTGTTCTCAACCCAAAGATACTGTATTCAGTTTGCTGTCATTGAGGACTAAAGAAAGCAGACCATATTCACATTGGAGAAGTTGAAATCGGAGAATCTGGACACATTTTGTTGAAAAATACTCAAACGATATGTAATTTGTTAGAAGAGATGGCGATTCATTTGGCGATTGACAATTAGTCGACCAATGGTGGCAGCAGGGGTAGATCTATTTTTTAACTCAGTACATGTATGACAAAACTGCTGAGCAACATCACAGCTATCTAGTATTACAGTATGATATAACTATATATAGTTATATGGGCACTATTCCGCATAGTCATATGTTAACGTTAGCTTCAAGCTAATTAACAGGGAGCGTGCCCTAACCCTAACCCTATGTTCCCACAGCCCTATGTTCCCACATTTCTAAGATTTCTTTCCAAAATTAGGCCATTTCCTTTTTCATAAATTTGTATCAGATATCCCAATTTGGTAGCCAATTACACCCAACCTATTCCCTAACCCTAACCCCTAACCCTAACCCTAACCCAATGTAGGAACACAAGACCTAATTTAGAAAATGTCCTAGAAATGTGGGAACATAGGACTGTGGGACCATTGGGCTGTGGAAACATAGGGCTGACCCCAATTAAAACATTAGCGTATACTGTGTTTAATGGTTCACGGACAGTATTTAACAGCATGTGGGTTGGTGTGACAGCAATATTCTCAATAGAGCAGTATCGGCTATTATCTGTAGTTAGCAGGCTTTGCAACATATGGTTTTTACTCTGAACCAAGATCCTTTAAGTCTTTTTTTGTTTTTTCAAAGCAGTGAGACAGTTAAGGGAGGATAAACAGAAGGACAGAGGACAGGAGGAAGGGCTGATACTGACAGACTGTCAGTGTTCGTCAGTCTTTCTAAATTTAAATTTTTTATTGACTTCTGAATTCATTCTTTTTTAGAATAATATATATATGTATATTTATAATTAATTACTACAATTATTTAGTAATCAAAAAGAACCAAAAGAGTATCAATGAAGAACTGGTGTCCAGATTGTGTAACTTCAGTAAAAGTATTTTTTTTTCTCACAAGCACCCTTGCATACAGTAAAATAAGTGTCTTATAATATGACATACACACACACACAAACACACACACACACACACACCAGATAGGAATCAACAATGACTACATGATACAGAGTTCTAGGTTGATTCCAGTGACTCCACAATGAGGATCTCTCTGCAGACTTCACACACTCCTCAGCCTGAATACACTATGTTCATTTATGTCTTGAGAATCAGTTTTGTTCGAGTACTCAAGTGTATTGTTGAACTGAAAAAACATTTTGAACATTTTGTTTGTTTGCTTTGTCTGTTAAACCTTTTCTGTTTTTTTTTCTGTACAGCAAGAAAATGTCCATGGAGTTCATAGAAGGAAGTAGAGGCAACTACAGATCCATCAGGGTATGTGAGAGGGATTTTATCACTGGAGTTAGACTGTTAACATTTTCAGATGGAGTTAAACCTCTGAATAACAAACTAATGAGGAATATTGTCTTATTGCCTTTACAGGTGTTGTTTGACACGCCCATCTCTGCAGATCTGCTGGCACATGGGTTCCTATAGGTCTCAGGTAAGACCTACTATAGCTTTCATGTCTAAGTAAAATAGCAGGTCAAGTCTTATGAATTGTGTCTTGTACTTGAACATAAAGCAGCTCCACCAGGATTTCATGAGCTTTTTTTGGATTGATGCAGCCTAAAATGTCTGATTTCATGACAGCTTTTTTAATTCAAGGCTTTTTTGCCATCAAATTGTGTTAGAACGAGAGAAGGTGTTTTGTTTGCTTTTTTTTTTTATATTTCATTTAGAACTGAAGGCAGCATGTTCCTGTGAGAATAAATTGCTAGTAGTTGGGTGATATATGGCTGGGTGTTTTGTTTGTTGGGACTACTATGATTGGTGAACATTTTAGAAAGGTTGTAAGGTCTGAAGAATTCACGGGGGATTGGTTGCATTTGCGACAGTGGGACTTCATGGAGGGACTGATAAAGACATCTGATCCCTTGTTTGTGGTTTAGATCGCACTGGAGTCTGAACTTTTGAGGCTTCAGCAGCAGAACCAGCTCCCGTCTGAGGTGAAGATATGAGTGATCTGCTGGTGGAGGAGAGTGCAGTGAGTTACCGACACACACATGCCACACCATTTCTGGAATGAGGAAAAGAGGAACAGTGAAAATGAAGCTTGTGTTTTCTTTCTGTTTGAAGGCTATGGGGCTTTGAACTGGAGGACTTGAGGATCCTGAGGCCAGGCTTCTTCTCAAGCTGGTAAGACCACAATCCGGAAAAGTCTCGACGGTAGTTCGGAGTCAGCTGTTGATTTATTCTGTAAATATGTCAGGTCTACTCTTCAGATCTCACTCCTTGTTGCATGAAGATGAGGGACGTTGAGTTTGAAGCCAGAAGGCTGCTCAGCTCTCAGCTCTCTACTCAGTCCCTCCTCAAGTTTCGGAAAAGTCTCTGCTGTCATTTCTCCTCCACCAGCTCCTCTGAACAACATTGCTGGACCTCCTGCCAACAACCTCCGGGAGAAAACATAGGAACAGCCAGAACACAGTCCAGAACCAATCTCTACTGGGGTTGCTGATGGTGCAGAGGAGCCTGGTCTCGAGGAAGACACTGAAGCAATCAGAGAAAGAGTCTCTGACCACTAGTGCTGAACCTCCTGCCATCACTGCTGTCCAGCAGGGTTTAGCAATCAGCCAGGTTGAATCAGTGCAGCAGCCAGCACGCAGCCCAGGACCAGACTGTGCTGTGGTGCCATGTCCTCCACCTCCTCTGAGCCCTCCTGCTTCAGTCTTGGACAGTGAAGATAATTGTAAAGAGCCTAGCAGAGGACCAGACTCTGCTGTGGTTTCATCTCCAACAGCTCCTCTCTCTGCACCTTATGAAACTCCTGTCATCAGTGCAGAGCGGGATGAGCTGACCATCAGCCAGGATGAGGCCAAAATGAAGACCGAGGGTGGACTCCAGGGCTTCTCTGATTGGTTCAAAAACACACTCTGCTGCTGTTTCCTGTGTAAAGACTATTCCTCAGCTCAGTTGTTCCTTAGTTCACTTTTAATTCTCATGTTACAACTCTAAATAATAAATGTACATTTAGTTACATTGCAGTTTGCATCAGTTTAATTTATTGTGAATTAATGCAAAATAAAACAACTATTAAATAGGAAGTGTAAGTTGCATTGGACGTATGTTACAATACATAGAAAGCGTTGACTCATGGGTATTACACAGTAACTACCACAAGTGTCGCAGCATCGAACAATTTGTACAGTATTACCTTGAAACAAATGACAATGCTTGGAACATAAGGGAGGATGAATTCACTGTGTTACCCTGTTACATACATTTCAGTCTAACAGCCATTGTTAATACATAATGCTGAGACCAAGCTAGTGCCTTATTTATGGAGCCATTATTGGAGCAAAACTATTTACAATTGTGAGTGGACAGTTGTGTAACTATCTCAGAATACTGACCTAGAGTCTAAAGAAGAGAAACTTTCTGAATTATCTGACTTAATATCTCAGAATAATGACTTTGTGAAGAGATGCTAAGTCAATATTTTGAGAAAGCTTCTTGTTATATTGACTTCATCTTTTTTTTTGTCACATTGGCGGATACGGGCTTCCATAAGTAGTGGAGGAAGAGGAAGAACAGGAGGAAGAGGTGAAGAGATGGGAAAAGGAGGAGGTGTAACAGAAGTACGGGGAGGTGGAGCCTGTTTGTTGACATCCGACAACAACGAGAGGCAGATGAGTGAAGACTGGTGATAATAACTCCATTTCTCGCCCTCATCGAGACACACAGCCTTGGCGAGAGCTAAGGTAGAGCCGTGGCCGCTGAGCCGTGCACCCAGACACCGCTGCCCGCTGCCCGCTGCCTGCAGCCCGCACCTCCACACACTGCTCTTAGCTAGCGCTAGCCCCACTGGCTAACTTACCTAACACCATAGCTGGGAAAGCCATCGTTAGCCACAAGCTAATTTAGACGCTGGAATGACACCGTATCGGCAAGTTAAGGCTTTACTCAGAATAACAGGTGTTGTTCTCTGGTATTTTTGTTTTTTGCGAGTGAGTAAGCTAACAGTTGTTTTCTGTTTGTCGGTAGCTATCTAGCGTCACTGTTGTTAAAGTATACTGTTATTCAGTGCAGCTCAGCAGCTAGCTAGCCATCTTAGTAACAGTCTGCTGCTGCTCCCTCAGGAGTCAGTGCTCTGTGTGGTTAACTAACAAACTAACGTTAGTAATACCAGCCAAAAAGACACGGCGAGCTAGCCTACTAGCTTCAGCTTATTAAGATGGGCCTTTCATATGAATGTAAATAAGATCATTTTGTTATTAATGTTGAAACTAGTTGTAACAAAGTAGCCAACATTAGTTGCTAACAGTAGCCAGCCCTAGGCAAAGGGCTCAGTTTATTATGGTAGCAAGGCGCTTTGACAGTAATATGCCTGTTGATTTAGTGATACAGCGAGAGCTTGCAGGAGATAAGTCTGATGTTATTTTGGATTGAATGTCATTTCTGTAAGTGCTATCTCTGTTATTGTATTAAAGGGCACCACACACAACATTTTACATTAGGAACAGATATATGTTTACACCATGGCACAACCTCCTGCTGTGACCTTTACAATGTTCTGTGTCAATCACATCTGTATTTAAAAAGTTGTATATAGTATACGTATAACTCTGTTTTTGTATTGTCATTATATCTTGTATTTTTCGATTCTGTTTTTTATTTAAAGTGTATTTTCTTATCTGGTGTGTTGTATCTGGAACTGCCCCAGTGAGGGATCAATAAAGTCTATGTATCTTATCTTATCTCATCTTATCTAAAACATTAATGTCAGTAGAACGATAGTGGATAAATGAGGCAGATATTTGCTTATTGGTATAACTGTAGTGACACTACATGTGCTGTATTTGTATACACATTTATTTTTAATCCTCACATCGGAAGAGTCAGCTTTACCTTGTTTGCCGTTTCCCACCAGAAGCAGCCCCCTGTGTCGAGTAATGGTTCCTAACCCTTTACTTTGTTCCACACACTCCTCCAAGGTCCCCTGCACCTCGCTGTCTTTGATCTGAGCCCGGAGAAGAAGAGGCTAACATGGCAGCCAAAGCAGGAGACAACCCCGACAGCCTCATGACTCTGGCAACCGTCTTCTGCCTGAGGAACCTCAGGAAGACCATGTGCTACCAGGGGTTTAGGAACAAGCTCTGCCTGCGTTCAGACATCTTCCTTCCCAGCGAAATCTGCGACAAGCTGGTCAATACGTACGTAACAGGATACACTGATTTCTGAATTATCAGTCTGTCAAAATGTGCCATGTATGATGCAATATTACAGATTCTGTGTCTGCAAAAGGGCTTTTGATTCCTTTTTTTGGTTTTGTTTTAACAGATATATGGAGTTGGTCCACACAGACAGTAACTTTGAACCGGAGGAGAGCTTCTTCCAACTGTTCTCAGACCCTCGAAGCACCAGACTGACCAGAGTACAGCTGAGAGAAGACTTTGTGCGTGACAGAGATCTGGAAGCCATTAGAAAACAGGTGGGATGCTGCATCTTAGTCGAAGACTAGTTTTTCAGAATAAGCTGATGTTGTCTTAAGATAACAATCTCTGTGGAACATCTCCACTTGAAAACTGTTAAAAGTTCTTATACATTTTTTAAAGCAAAATTAAAGGAACTCTTACTGCTTTTTACACCCTTATTACACTCTTATTTTTTTAGTTTTGGGAAAACTACTTTCCAAACTCCCTGCTTCAGTTTTGCTATATCCTCATTACAGGTTTAGCAGTGGTCCCTACTATAGACCCATTTTTGTCTCTTTCAGGGGGGGACAGGGATCTTTAGTATAAGATAACAGTTCTGTATATGTCTGTCTGTCTTAAAGCAGTGAACCTGAAGATTAATTTGAGTTGCAGCTCAGCACTGTGTCAAGTTTGTCTCATAATTAATCTGTAATAAACAGACATTTTGTTTAGGCACCTGTTTAAATAAGTATATGTATATAAATAAATAAGTTTGTATAAGGGCTCAGAGCATTATGGTTGAGGTGTTTATCAAAATGGTGAAAAATCCTTCCCAAATACCACATTAAGGTGCCAAAGACTTGAGGAACACCATAAAAAAAATAGGCTGTGTTTTGGTATCAAACATTTTTGAGATTTAGAGATTTCTGTAAGAATTGCATTTTTCACGGATTGGAGGCAACACTTCTGTTCTGGAAATTGCTCAAAACCCCCTTATTGTTGATATATCTAGGAAAGCCATACATCATCTGAATGCCCTCAGTCCCCAATTTGTTCTTGTACAGTTTCATGAAACTGCATGCGTTCTAAAAAACCAGACATTTTGAAACTAGTTTTTCAGTCATGGAAACACATGGAAATTGATTAAAATGAAAATGACCAAATACCTTAAAAATAAGCTTGAAAATTTTAACTGTGTTTTAGTCCTTCATTCATATCTATACTTCAGATCGCCTACACATTGTTTGAAACCGGACCGTTGGTACAATAACCTTACCCCCAAATTCCACCGGACACAGCTGTGACTAGTTCCGGCTCCACCGCCGTTGCCTACGCTCTAAATTCCACCTGAAGCGCTGCGGCATGTCCCAGAAGTGCCTCTTCGCTCTGCTCCCTGTAGAATACGTGGCTCTTTTATTTTTGACGGAAGCTGCGACCCACTTGCGTCAAGCAGCACAGAGCAGCAGATCGCATTGGCAGGAAGTCAGACACAGAAACTGCATAGATAGATAGATAGATAGATAGATAGATAGATAGATACTTTATTTATCCTGAGGGATATTCAAGTCAACAGACAATAGACAATCCAGTCAGGCTCCCCTGTTGTTCACATCCTGATTCATGGGATTTACTAAGCTGTTATGGTTGTTTTGCTAGGCTAAACAGGGCTTGGATAGGCATGGGACGAAATGAAAATTTCATGTCATGATAATCTTGGCCTAAATAATTGCAATACACGATATAATCATGATAATCGTGAAAATAAACTTCATACTTTAGAAATCACACAAAACACTGGAATCGCTTATAATATTTTGTTAAGAAAGACATATTTATTGCATCACAGATATGAACCTCATCTCCCTGTTCTTTACTTTGGAATCTTTACTATTTCCACACATCCAGTTTAACTCTTTTTGTGGGGGATACAATGGGCAAGCTGAGCCTTCAGCAATGGTAACAGGCTTAGGATTTAGGAATGACTGGAAAGATTCAGGCTCCCCTTGTTCAAAATAAATCAGGAAATCAGTATACGACTGTATGCTTGAGATGTAGACCACTTTTTCAGGTCAAGCCATGTGAGACTATCATGATAATGGAAATTGACCACAATATATTTATAGGGTTTTTTATCACAATATGCGATAATGTCGCATATCGTCCCATCCTTATCTGTGATCACTTTCTCTCCTGAATTATTATTGATACAACTAATCAAACTCCTGGTTAGCAAATACATGTATTTTCCAAAATGTGAATATTAATATAGCCTTGACTATGGTCTACTCTTTTAGGTAGTTGCATCCATATTTGAAACATACTTCAGATCAGATCAGTTTTGCGTTCTGTTACTTAAACATGCGTCTGAAAAGACAAGTGTAACAGTGGCGGGGTTCATCCAAATAATGGCAATTTCAGATTATACCTTTTAAATTAGTAATTGTCCTTATTTACAGTTTTTAATATCCAAACCTCAGAAAGGAGGCTCTTCAAAGAAGATCTTCTGGATGTTCTTGTTGCAAGTGCTCAAATGTTCTACCAAATATAATTTTAAGCTCCATGTCCACAAAACAGACCTTTGAGTTCCTTCCTGAGTTGCTAACCTTTATTTAGCAGTTAGTACTTGTGAAGTATTAGCTGGATACCTGACACTTCCCCTCATAGTAATGTAGGGTTCTTCTTGCACCAGTACTGTCAGGACGTAAGAACTGGGGGGAGTGGCTGTTTGGTTTTCTGTTACCAGTAATTACCACTCAAAGAAATTATGTCAAGTGACAATCAAGAAACTGTAGTTAATGGTATCGCACTCCAATCCTCACTGTCCCACTGAAAACCGCTGGAAGATTAAATGCAAATAAATGCAGTGGCATCTTGATAGTAGTAGTACTCTCATTATATGACCTTGTTTTAGGTGGAACATACCAATGTTTGGTAACTGAAGAATGTTTATAATGTGTCACATATTCTTCCGTGTTTTCTATCAGTTTTCTAAAGGAAATTATTTTACTATGTAATGTGGCAGTTTTGAATATTTAGTTCTCAGAATCATGGGACATCTAATGAGAGACAGACATAAATGTGACATACAAAGAAATATGTCTACAACCTTTATTTATATTTTCCTACGCTTGATTGTGTTCCTTATGCACCAATGTACCAAGGCAAATTCCTTGGTACATTGGTACTATGTATGCTACTTATCCTGTAAGTGTGGGGATGGAACAAATAATTCATATAGTATTACATTGCAGTACAGTCTCTTATATCACAAGAGACTGCACTGTGTGATGTTGGTCCAGTCAAATGTCCTTCAACTCCAAACATTGCAAATCTGGAATTGTGCTGCTTTCTGCCAGTTTACCAGGTTGGCACTGTTTGAGACTGGGATGATGGATCATGTATGCAGTATGTTACCCATACCGTCTTATTTCCTCCCAAGAAGGTTATGTTTTCATTGACGAAATCAGTGGCAAAGTCGGAACACAGCATGGCTGTGCCCGGTGGAATTTGGGGGTAACTTTCCACTATTATTCCAAATAGGACACTATTCCATATTTTAAGGGGTGTTCCGGAAGTGTTCAGAATGGAGCATTTTCAGATCAAGACGTGGGATACACCAATATTATTCAGGTTTTAGAGGCATTCTTTGCACATGTATACAGCACATTTGGAATATGTGTCTTTGCCTGTTAAAAAAGCCCACATTTCTGGTCGGAAAGGAGAAACTGTTAAACATCATGAAAGACTTGGATATCAACAGGTTTTTGGATATGTGCAAATATTGCAACGCCAACCTTTTTTTAAGAAGGAGGTTAAACAAATGAAAGAGGGAGGTTGTGTTCACACGGTCAAACAAGTCCGCCCCCGGTGGCAAAATCCTCTTTTAATGACGCTGTTTAATTTTTTGGAAAAAGGGGATAAATTCCTCGTACAGTACGCCATTAACAGTTCAGTCAATAGGAGTAAGCTGCTTGTAAACGGGAATATTAGTGGAATAGTCATTTAATTTCCATGTAAACAGCTTAGTATGACTATCGTCTTTTTTGGAGGGCAAAAACTGCATTGTGTGCATGTAGATGTAGTCAACATACTTAGATACAGGTTCAAAATAATCCGTCTGGTGGGTTCTGGGTTATATGCTTTAATAAAAATCTGTGTAACATCAGACGGTTTTTCCTTACTCTGTCCCTTCACCTCTTTTACATAACAGTGCTGCATTTGGAAGTATCTGTAAAAAATGTGTGTGTGTGTATATGTATATGTGTGTATGTATATATATATATATATATATATATATATATATGTATATATATATATATATATATATATATATATATATATATATATATATATACACACACATATATACATGTATACATATACATGTATACATATATATATATATGTATATGTATATGTATATATGTCACAGATAAATGTATGTATATGTGTATATGTATATGTATGTATATGTATATGTTTATGTATATATGCCACAGATAAATCTACTAATCCTTCACTAAAGAAGAATGTAATGTGATACTAGTCTTGTATTGTAAGTTAACCTGTGGCCTCTGTCCTTATAGTTGATTTGGTGCAGGAATTTATAAAGGAAAACCCAGTCACTCATGATTCTTAAATAAATTCTTTGTGTGTTCTGCCAGGACCTGATTGAGCTCCACCTCACCTACTGCAACAGTCTGTCATCCCGCAGCTTGAAAACACTGACCTGCTTCCGTGAGACCCTGGTGTCTCTTTGTCTCTTTGGCTGCACCCACATCTTCTACCGGAAGGGTGGCGCCCCGCTCGCATGCAACGAGGATACCGAGGACGAGGAGGAGGAGAGCCCTGCTTCTAGGCAAATGCTAGAGACTGACTTTAACTTCCAGGGGTTCAACCGCCTCAGGTTGCTCAATTTGGGTGGCCTGCCTGATGAGGTGGATGCTGAGACCCTGCTCAAACCCCTGAAGTCACTCACCTCACTAGATCTATCTAATGTACAGTTGCTGGGAACAGCTTTTCTCACACAGTGGAAAGATAGACTGGCATCTCTTGTTCTCTACAACGTGGACCTGTCAGAGGAGTTGGTCAATACAGTGGTGGAGATCGTTAATCTCAGGTAAGTCGGGAGGAGGCAATTATGTATAAATTGTCATTATACTTGCTAATAGTAATTTTACTGATGTGCTGCAGGTGGTGGAAAACTGCATTCAAACCTAAGTTCTGTGTAGCTTCATCTAAATCATTCAAGTTAAAATTAGATTATGCACTGGACTGAAGTTTTAGAGTTGTTTATGGACCAATCCAAGAGGCCTAACTTACATTTTGCGTCACTTTTTCAGGTGCTTGGTCAAATTGAGTTATTTATTAAAGCACCAACATTTAGCGGTTTTAAAATGGAAGAAAAGCTTCACCACTGACAATTGTGTGTCATGCAATATGTATGCATACAACAGATCTTACTTAACAGCACTTTATGAAAAATCTGTTTATTAGGTTCTGTAGTCTTAGTAAATACCCTGCTACGTAAAAAAAAAAAATAGCTACAAATTCCTATGATGGAAAGTGTGGATGGAGGGTTTTAGATGATGTTTGACCAATCCAGAAAGCACTTCTGTTAGGTTATGTGTGTTCATGTACATGAAGTTTACTTGCCACTAGATATTGCACTAGAGCACCAGGATCTCAGACCAAAACAATTGGATGCCATGCCTGACCAGACTCCATTGACAAAACCAGTCATTTCACCTAGCAGATAAGTGTTAAACACACTTCACACTGGAGAGAAACAAAATAAAACTCACCCAAAGTGTTAGTTGTTCCACTGTCTTTACAACAATTACCAACGCTGGGTTGGTTGAAATAAATCCTTAATTTCTTGACGTATACAATAGCTATGAAACAGAGTGTTGTGGCTGCTATGTAACATTGGCTAATCCTTTGGAACAGAGATAGACCTTTTGTTTAACCAGAAACAGCTGTAATATCACATTAGGAACTGCATTATCATCCCATAAAGCATTGTACCACCACAATAAAAACAGTCACAATATTAAAGGTTGTATTGTTGAATGGTGTAGCAGATTACTGTAAAAACAACGTCAACAATGCGTTCGTAGTGATGAACCTACAGAGAATTATCAGCTGAGTCATAGTGGATTAAAAGTTAGGTTTGAATTCTTCAAGTCTGCCCTAATATTATATTTCCTTTCTTTCAGTATTGCTAACATACGGAAGCCGAGAACGGCCATGGATTTTTCTTTTTTAGGCACTGTTATCTCGTGATAACGACTTATTATCTCGTTATCTCGATATAACAAAGATTGTTTTCTCGTTATAACGAATTAATTAATAATGTGTTTGTGGCAGCTCTTGTAGGTTGAAATCAAGATGAACACATTATTAATTAATTAGTTATCACGAGAAAACGATCTTTGTTATATCGAGATAACGAGATAATAAGTCGTTATCACAAGATTAAAAAAAATCTGTGGTCGTTCTTGGCTTCCGTACTAACATTTGTGAATTCCCATTCATTTTGATGTCCCAATGCCTACTGTATGTTGTTCCCTTTATATGCCCACTAATCATCAAAAATGTGTCACTGTCATCAATAAAACTCTTCAGACATCTTGACATCTCACGGGAGAGCAGGCGAACCTCTAAGTTTAAGATGACCAGGAAGATCCTGACGGCCATCGTGCAGCGTCTGGTCAACCTGGTGTCACTGGACATCTCGGGTCACGTTATGCTGGACAACTGCACGGTTCCACACTTTGAAGAAGCTATGGGTCGACCAAGGTGGGTGGCTGTGGCTCAGAGGTAGAGCGGATCGTCCACTAATCGGAAGGTTATTGGTTCGATCCTTGGCTCCTCTCACTGCATGCTGAAGTGTCCTTGAGCAAGACACTGAAGCCCAAATTGCTCCCCATGCTGTGCATTGGTATCAGTGTGTATGAATGATCAGTTTCTGTTCTGTTGAGCAGTTGGCAGCCAATGTGTGTGAATGTGGTGAGTGTGGCATGTAGTGTACAGCGCATTGAGTGGTTGAAAGACTAGAAAGGTGCTATTTAAGTACAGTACATTTACCATTTACCATTTGGCAACTCTAGAGTGTACACTGGATATATTAAAAGAAGCCTAATGCAGAGTTTTTCGAAATTGCTTTTGCATTTTTATTTACTCTGAGCTGAACTTCTGAACAAGCTCTTTCTTTCTTTCTTTCTTTCTTTCTTTCTTTCTTTCTTTCTTTCTTTTAGCATCGAGCCATGCAAGAGCAGCATCTATCCTTTCCAGGAGCTGAAGAGGCCCCTGCAGTTTCTAGGCTTATATGACACCACCCTCTGCAATGTGACGCACATCCCTGCTTACAAGGTACTGGTTATCCAAAGGGCTGGACACACAATACAGTTTTTGGCTGATGATAGTTATTTTTGGACTCAGAACTAAAGCAACAGAGTCCTTTCTTGTCTGGCAAGTTGCTGCTGACAGTCAGAAGATAAAATGATACGGTGTGTCATGTCCAAGTGTTATCAGTAACTTCCTCAATGAGATGTTGCCAGTCAGCATTGACATGGTTTATCTTCTTATCTAGAAACATGCCCTTCAATGTCACAGGTGTAAGTTGGAGAAATGAAAATGAAACTGGTTGTAAATGGGGAAAAAAGGGAATCGATTTTACCAAGATTTAGATAATATTTTATTACAGGGTTCGTACAAAGTCTCTAAAGTTTGGAAAACATTTAAAGGTCCAGTGTGTAACATTGAGGAGGATCTACTGTGAGAAATGAAATATAATATTTATAGGTATGTTTTCATTAGTGTATAATCACCTGAATGTAGGGACTGTTGCATTACCTTTAGAATGAGCTGTTTTTATGCACAAATGCCAAGCATCGCCTTTTTTATGGAGTCCGCCATGTTGACCTACCATGTTTCTACAGTAGCCCACAATGGACAAACCAACCACTGGGTGTAGATAGGGGCGTTTTTCACTTGTTTCATGGCCACCATAGTTGCGAGGGTGTTGCGATCTGCAACTGCACCTCTAGAAGCAACTAAATCTTTACCACTGGTGCTTTTTACAGTGTTCTAGAAAAGGGCCTTTATACCTTCACCTTTGAGTAAAATGGTCAATTCACCCTTTATGTGATGAGGCAAATGACCAGTTGTTACCAGTTTCTCCTTACCAGGTACAATGTAAACTGGTTAAATCTGTCTTTCTGTCTTTTTCAGGTGACTGGATCCAAGAATGAAGACCAGGTCCTGAATGCCATTGAGGCTTACACAGAGTTTCGCCCTGAGCTGGCCCACAGAGCCATCAATCAGCTGTTTGACATCGCCAGGATACAGCACTGCAGCCAACTGCTCCGAGCTTTGCAAGTATGATGAGTTTAAGTTGAAGGAGGTGATACCAGTGGATCTAACGGGATCTTTGTGCAGTGATTCAGCATGTTGTTTTCTCTCTCACACCTCTGCTATAAACTGTCCTTTCAGCTTGTCATAGCAGCATTGAAGTGCCATAAATATGATAAGAGCGTCCAGGTGACGGGCAGCGCTGCTCTCTTCTACCTGACCAACACAGAGTACCGCAGTGACCAGAGCGTGCGGTTGCGCAGAGAGGTCATTCAGGTGGTGCTAAATGGAATGGAGCAGTACCAGGAGGTCACTGTAAGTCTATTGATTAATTGATTCAATGAGAAAATGAAAGAAAATAAATGATCCGAAAAGCATTGGAGGGGATTTTAAATCTAACACAAGCCATGTCAGAATGGTCTGTATCTGTTTAATCAGGCTCCTATCAAATAACATCAGTGTTCTCTTCATATATATGTATAACTGTACGTATTGTCTTTTTTGCTGAGCTTGTTGTTCTGTTTATTTATGCTTAGTCTGTGTTTGTACATTGAAAGCAAGGTAAAACCAGAGTCAGTTCCTTGTATGTGCACATACCTGGCCAATAAAAGTGATTCTGATTAATTAAAGCGTATCATCAGCTTTTAGGTCTATTAGATCTACATTATGTTGCTCTTCAGACTTTCGTAGAGTTTTCAGACTCGTAATCCTTCCTGTATCCCCCTCTTTGCCCCTCACCAGGTCCAGAGGAACTGCTGCTTGACTCTGTGCAACTTCAGTATTCCAGAGGAGCTGGAGTTCCAGTACAGTCGGGTCAACCAGCTGCTGCTGAAAATCCTGGAGCCGGCCAGGCAAGATGAGTCCATCCAGAGAATTGCTGTGCACCTCTGCAACGCTCTGGTCTGTCAGGTGGACAACCATCACAAGGAAGCTGTGGGGAAGATGGGCTTTGTCAAGGTAACATCTATATGAGCTTGTTTCCTCTGTTGTTGTGAAATTAGATTTTCAGGGTTAAAGAGATCAGATGTCATTTGTGTTATGAGATTTGACCATTACTTCTGAAAGAACATCGCCCTTGTAAGGAAGAGCTGCCACAGTGCAGAGCCCATGGATCCACTCCAGTTCTCAGGCCAGTTACTTGGTCAAGGCCAACGGCAGGAGTATTCCTAATATCTAACAAGCTTATTTTTGGGATGGCAGGAAACCAGAGCACCCAGAGGAAATCCACGTGAACACGGAGTGAACATACACCACAGTGTGTAGACAGTATTGTAGTTGTGTCTCTGTGTTGGGAAAATTAATTGTAGTTCTGTTATATTCTAGGATTTTGATAACTATCCCACCACATTTATAGGAATAAAATACCAGAGAGGAGAGGAGCAGTATACTGAATAAACTTAATTTAATCAGGTAGTCTCATTGATATCAAGATCTCTTTTTCAAGAAAGAGTGGGGAGCAAGAAACATAGTCAACCAGCATGCAAGAACACATTGAGCAACAAATATAGTTCAGAAAAGCAAAAATGAGGGTAATGTTAAATTATTTGTCTTGCCTATTAATAGGCCCTGCAGTGGGTCAGACTGTGCTGTCATACAGCTACTGAGCCCTCTGACAGGTGACACCATTCTCTAGCCTTGACCTAACCTTAAAGCTGCCTTTAACTCCTACTCTCCACCAAGCAAAGAGCAGATACCCGGCGACTTGACCTGAGCTCATGTTTACATTGTATCTGCTGAGGCTACACCACAGTGGCTGCCCCCACTCCCTAGTTTCATGTAAACGCTATGGCTACTCAGTTGACCCTTCCTAAGTCCCGCCCCTTTTTGCCAATAACAGTTGAGCAAGCCTCGGCTAAAGGACAGTTCCGGTGCAAAATGAACCTGGGGTTAATAACACATGTGTACCGAGTTGGTCCGTTCTCTGGGATATGTTTTCATGCTAATCAACCGTGACCGGTTTTAGCCCAAACTGCTAATTAGCTTATAACGCTAGTCAACGGGGCACAGAGTAACGTGAAAAGAAATCGCTTTTTATACCACTAACAAGACTCAAAATAGCACCACACTTACACGGTAGCATAATGAGGGTCCCTATGTATAAACCGCAGCATTGAGAACTTTGTAAGTGTACAGACAGTTTATTAAAAAGATAGTTTAGAACAACAGTAGCGTTCGCGTATACAGGCGGGCGCTATCTTGGGAAAACAGTCAGGGGTTAGGTCATTCATGCAGATCAATGATCAAGATTCACAGCTGGCGATGTGAACTAAAACAAACGTAATCTGCTCAATATATCAGAAATAATCGCACCGATGTAAAACACAACTTGTCTAGTGTACTTACTCAGTGGATAACTGTCCATCTGGTCCCTCCGGTATGAGTCGCTGCCTCCAATTTATTTTCGGGACATGGAAAAAAGTTTCAAGTACAGCTCTGTTTATCAGAGAGGGGAAATCTTCAGACTGTACAAAATACTGCGTCTCTTGGGTGTCGCGACGCAACAGGTCCCACTCCGTGCAACACAGGCGCTCCTCTTCGGTGGCCATAGCTTCACAATGTCCGCAGGTACACCACCAGTTTCCCGAAGTAAGAGGCTGTGTTGAAGCATTGACTACCGGTAGCGTTCTCTCTCTCGTAGCCCTTTCACGGAGCTCCCGCAGTGCCGGACTTTGAAGCCAATTTGACATAGGGACCATACTGTGTAATGACAGAAAAAAGACCATAGGTTACACTGTGAAAGAAGCGGCTATAAAAAAAAATTCTAAACCATGGTGTGCATGCTCTATGGGCCGCATGTGCAGAAGATCTGTGGTCATATGAGCAGTAGGATGGAGAAGACCTTTAATTCTACTGTGGTAACTTTCCAGAGTTGTACAACCCTTCTCAATAGATATGCAGAGTCTTATATGATGAGACTTCTAACTGGGCTCCTGAATGTATAAAAAGTTCCTAAATATTTAAGTGAAACTAATCTCTGATACAATATTCACAGGAAATAATTTGCATTGAATATAATATAAAATATATATTATACCGTAAAACATAACCATAAAAGTTTGGGAACCAGTGATCTAAGCTTTCATGCATTAGTCTTGTTGTGTGGTAGTGTGCAGTACTTTTGGAAAAATCTACTACCCTGTAGTAACACACACATCCTAACACTTTGTGTTGTTTTGCTAGTTCTGCTATGTTTGTGAAATGATTGTTTAGATATATATATATTCACTGTGTATAAATGTGTTTAAATATCTCATGTCTTCCTTCACAGACGATGTTGAATTTAATTCAGAAGAAGCTACAGGACAGAATGGTGAGTCTCGGTTTTACTCCACCTGGATCTTTTGAGCATGAAATTGTATTGCTTTATAGACACAAACCTGTCTCAGTTGTAAAATGGGGGGCACTGTATTTGGTAGAATATTAATATTATTACACATCTGAACAGACGGATCCTGTTGTGAAGTTTTTTTTTTTTCAAATTAAAATAAATGGCCTAACCATGGATAAGGCACATGCAAATATGTCCACTGTTGGACTCCCAGCCTGGAAACCCTTGCTACAAGTTATACCTCTCTCCCTCCCCCTGTGTTTCCTGTCTCTCTCCGCTGTCATACAAAGGCAAAACTTGCAACAAAAAGTCCAATAAACATCACATATGTTTGTCTAACTGTTCCAGTCAAATGTTTGGGGATTCTTGGTTAAAAGGTTGTGTTTCCCCTCAGTGTGACCAGGTGATGGAGTTTTCCTGGAGCGCTCTGTGGAACATCACTGATGAGACGCCCGACAACTGCCAGATGTTCCTCAACTGTCGGGGCATGAGTCTCTTTCTGGAGTGTCTACAGGCGAGTTCACACTCACCCACGCTGCACCTGATACGTCTTTTCTGAAACCATAAGAATTTGCTTCAAGATTTGTTCCATATAGGTTTGAAATATATAGATATAGATATTTCCACGGTGTAATAAAACACCTTTCCTCTCGTGTGTTCTCTCTGCAGGAGTTTCCAGATAAGCAGGAGCTTCACCGCAACATGTTGGGGCTTTTGGGAAATGTCGCTGAGGTCAAAGTACTGAGGCCACAGCTGCTCACCCCACAGTTCATCAGTGTATTCAGGTAAGAGAGCTGAAACCAGCTGACAGACAAATGATTGTATAATGATTTGGTTAACCTTTCCAGTGTACCTATCGTCAATACAACATTATAAATTAAAATATTTTCCAATACAAGTGGATATTCATATTTGTATTATAAGTTAGTACAATGGATCACATTGGCTGGTAAAATAATTTTGCAAGTTAGCCAAATAACATCCACTCGGATAGTATTTAGTGATAATGTTAGTGAGCAACCAAGCTAAGGTTAGCCAGCAATCTGCAAACCAGCCACACTGCATATATATCAGTAACCTGCAGATGGCAAGCCAGTCAGTTTACCAGGATTTTTGCTACGTTAGTTAGATAGCAATTTCTGTCCTGCTTTAGCAAGCGAGCTTACGTTAGCCAGTAAAACCACAATATCACAATATATTTCACAAATACATTTTGCAGTAATGTTAGCTATGACTTTGGACTCTGTGTTGTGGTGGGTATTTGTAGACGTTTGTGGACTTTATTTCTGTGCTAACGTTAGCTAGTGTTTAGGGCTGGGCGATATGGACCAAAAGTCATATCCCGATATATTTAAGCTGAATATCGATATACGATATATATCCCAATATTTTTTCCGCAAAGTGAGAGCAAATGTTCAGTCTCTCTCTCTCTCTCTCTCTCTCTCTCTCTCTCTCTCTCTCTCTCTCTCTCACACACACACTCACACACACACACACACGTTGTGACCAGAAGTTAGGCTGCATTCTAACTTTTAAATTAATATTTTCAGAGGCAGTAAGGCTGTTACCACTCACCAAAACTGTTACTGTTATTACACAAGCAAATACAATTATGTTATAACAACTTAACATAAGTTAACCCTGTTATTGAGCTGTACATTAGGTTGACTCAGCAACAAGTGTCTGTAATGTTAGTAACATGACGTTAATGGTATGATAAAGATTTGCTGCCTGTAAACAGAACAAGCAACTCATCCCAACTAAAACCACACTCAATATTAACGTTGTGTTTTGCTGACATGAATCATGCCTGTTAAGTGTTAACTGATGGCGCCCTTACTCCCTGTATTACGGTAGGCTGATATACTGTACGACTGTATTGTGAAAGGGTTACGGTACGTACAAGACATGACGTCACCACGCTCCCACTGAGCGCTAGTTGTTGTTGTTGTTGTTGTTGTTGTTGTTGTTGTTGTGTGAGCCACGCCGATGAGACGTCGGCACATCAGTCCACACTTTACTGTTAAATAAATATACCTCCATATAGTAGAGGACCACGCGCTGCAGTAAATAACCCCTTAACAATGCCGAGCGTAACAAGCTAAAATTAGCACGTTAAGTTACCTGTAACATCAGTGAATTACTCAGCAGTTAGCTTACCTAACAGTCTGACAACGTTACAGTCTAAGTTATGGATATGAACACAAACATTACGTTAGGTTATTGAAAGAGGAGGGGCGGGTTAGGGTTAGGGGGAGCGGGGAGCAGTGCAGAGAGCTCCGGGTCAGCAGCTAGCTTGGAGCAACGATCATAGCGCAAATTTGAACTATATCGATATATCGATATGGTCTAATTCCATATCACATTTTAAATATATTGATATATTTTTTATATTGATATATCGCCCAGCCCTACTAGTGTTGCACACAGTAGGGAAGCTGATGGAGAGAAGGCTCTTGGGAGCGTGCAGAAATATTTTTTGAACTAAAAAAAGTGATTAATGCATAAAAATGATGTGTAAAATGCTTCAGCAGGTTTTCAGCCATACACTTGGACACAGTGTGTGTCAATGCGTCACCACAAACAGTGTAGTTGCCAAACAAATGAAAGTCTAGGCCAAATATTGTAAAAGAAACTGATTGTTTTACTTTGCCTGCAGACCTGAATGGACACAGCCAGGACAAATTCCAGTGCATAGCAGACTACTGATTGTCAGACATTTTGGGTTTAAAACAAAAGTCAGATCTAGCGAAGATGACATACCAAAGGACACATACCATTACACGCTTTACTATAGCAGTGACTCCATGACGACAGGGTGGCGAGATCACAGGCTTCCAAACACAGTCTACACATAAAGCACATTACTGAAGCACTCATACAGCCAAGCCACACGCTCACACACACATATAATAACACCTTACTAAACTAACTAAACTAAAAACTTACAGAAAGCCTGTTAAGAACTGCTGCTGAAACAACACAACTTGTCTAAACACAGTGTTTGTAGTCTGAATTGAAACTTTTGTCTGCTTTGGTGAGGGTTACCATTTCACACACACTTCTCGTCAGATATTTGATCAGACAATACTGTTTGCTGCTTTTACAGTAACCTGCTGGACAGTAAGGCGGATGGGATCGAGGTGTCGTACAACGCGTGCGGCGTGCTTTCACACATCATGTTTGATGGGCCAGATGTGTGGTCAATGGAAGAGCCGCGAAGGGACACAGTGATGGACAAGATGTGGGATGCCATCCAGAGCTGGGACGTCAGCTCCCGCCGCAACATCAACTACAGGTGATTATCTGTTTATTGTTTCCTTATTAAGGTTATATCAGCCATATTTTCATTCATTTAATTCAATATGTATTCTATTTTATTTTGTATCAAAATGTTTTGTTTTAAAGGATACATAAAAGCAAATACCAGGAGGAATAGCTCAGACCGTGTACATTACTATTGCAGCTTATTGCTGCCACTAAAAGCCCAGTGTGTAGGATTTATTATCATCTAACAGTGAAGTTGCAGATTGCAAGTAACTGAACACCACTCGCGTCTGTATTTTACAACCAGGGAATGAGAAGGGGCTGTGAAGCGTGTGGCTGTGGCTGCCTCATTCCATTATAACTGTTAAATATTTAAACAATATTTAAATATTTCATTATTTTTTTTAAACAGACAGAATTGTATAAAAAGTTCTTTAAAATATCCATAAAACTCATCTCTCATGCAATATTCACAGTAAATAATCTGCATTGAATTTAATATGAAATATCCATAAAATATGTCTCTTAGTCAGGGCTCATCAGTTTACTCAACAAAAAAAAAGAGGTCCCTTAAGGTAAAAGTTGGAACAACTGGCTTAATGAAGGAATTAAGGGATGAATTATCTTTATTTACTTGGCACTATGTACAGCAGAGCCATCTCAAAGAAGCACTGCACCCACACACACACACTATAACAGGCAGTGTTGTCAAAGTAACAAGCCTATGGCCTCAGTCGCACAGTGCCCTAGAACGTGAAACAATACATTAACCATTATTGTGACCAGTGCCTGAATTGGGCCAAAAAATGTACCAGTACCCTAATTCAGCACAACAACAACCCTAAATACAGCATAACCTTCCACATAATCCTTTTTAACAAGGACATTTTCAGTGCTGTTTCCTCAGTGCTAAGTAAGCTGTGTTTACATGGAGATGCACTTATGCAGGCGTCTAGGAGTACCTCACCAGCATTGCTGTATGCAGGGTTTTAGAAAGACTTTTTTAGGTCCAAAAACTAAAAGTTTTTAAAGCATCAAAGTAGGCAATTATTTTAAGACCTTTATTACATACCCCTCGGTGGGTAGAGCAATGCTTAAAAAGGGTGCTCATGTGGACAAAAAACTGTGCCTGTGAGTACTGGCCCATTTCAGACACTGATTGTAACATGTTTTGATAAATCTTACAGTGAAGGTGTCAGTAAATACATAAAATAACAAATAAGGTCTTATGATTCCTCATGTCAAAAGTTGTGATCAGTGAGGAATAGGTGTGGATTTAAGTATTAATAGCTATTTACACATTGTGTGGAAATCCCTGACAATGAAAGATGTTGTTACATAAGAGGCACAAACTGTTGATCATCCATCATGTTATTATAAATCTTGTGGACCTCTGACATTTAGCTTATATGATATACCCACCAACATCGATGCACATTTTCTTTTCAAAGTGATGATCCGTCTGTATATATTGTGGTGGAAGTTGACCGAATAAGGGAGACCAACAAAGAGAAATTTGTCTTTGTATATTTATTTAGCTTTTGCGC